TTTAATCAGGAAGGGGGAGGAGGAAAGAGAATCTACAATTTCATTGTCACCATTATATTAGCATTCCAGAGATTGATAAAGAATGCTACAGCTGTTTTTAACACCTATATTTAAAAAAAACAACTTTATTTTTGGTCAAGTAATAGCATAACAAAGTGATACAGCATGCATAATTTCACTAATCAGATGGAACAGTAATGAGAAGGTAATGTTACATCATTTGCATCATCTCATCCGAAATAAACAACTTAGTAGTATTCCATTAATCCTTGACGTGAGCTGTTTCATCCACTTTGTTAAATGTGCACTTAACAAATATACATTTTTTAAAAATTATTTTTAGGTAGTATAAAAAGAAGATTGGTTTGAAGAGTCCCTTTGCTCTGACAAAAGGGATTACAGTACTCTAGGTAAATGCCCTAAAAGCACCCAACCCAGATAATAGGTAACACCTCTATTTTTAAAATGTATTATTTAACTACATGTGGGCCTTATGTTTAAATGCATATGTCATTTTTACATTCTGTTGCCACTTTTAGTAAGCTGTGTGGCTTGTAATGCTTCCTGGGTCCGTAGAAGCATCTAATTTTTAATTGAATAATTTATTTAATTTTGTCACATCTATTGTACGTGCGTAAAATTTTAACATTTCATTCAATTTGTGTGAAATGTTGCAAAATAAAAGACTGTATACAGTCTAAAGCTAATTTCCTAAATAAATATTTTTTATAAAGACTGAACGAATAAGTGATAAATAAAAATAGTATAAATTTACATAATTGTAATTTTTACATTTGTCTGCAGAGCACACAATTGCTCTGTTATACTGTATGTTTATATGCTATCTATGCATCCTTTGCCGTGAACACGTTATGCTAATATTATTTCAATCAAAAAGTGCTCAGTTTTGAGGATGTATTTACATTTTGACAATGGAAAATATGATGTCTATATTAGATCATTATTTATATTTTGGTCACCACAATAAAAACTAACAGATTACATGGTCAAATGTAGGAAGACATCCATTTATAATTAGTGGGTTTAAACATTCCAGGCATATCCATTGCTGATGTATATAAAATAAAGCACAAAGTCAGGCAATGTCCGTAAGGAAACTTTATTGGCAGAATAGAACTACAGAGTCCAATTAATTTCAACATGTTTCCATTATAGGATGCCACATTCCCACCAATTTAATCGGTTAGATTTCTGGTTTACTGGAACTTCCGAGGCTAACCGTAAAAGGTATTATTGGAACAATGAGTAACAGTTGTCCTATAATGACGCGATAGACTACTACCTCACAAAATGAGATGGGTGATGAAGCTCATAAAATATGTTTTTTATAGAATATTTTTTTAAAAATTATATATATGTGTGTATCCTCAGTTTCAACACTCACCACCAAGTTACAAGATGCCTTTTAAAAACTCTTTGTCAGAAGTTTCATGAAATTGGTTTACATGGCCAAGCAGATGCACGTCAACATGTGGTCAGGTGAATGTGCAGGAATGTTCACCAACTGTGCCACCAATAAAAACATGTTATCTGGAGTTATGCATTATAAGTAGTCATGTTCCAGTTTGTGAATGACTGAGTTTGGCAGGTCCTTTGGTTGCCCGACTGCATAGTGCCAACTGTAAGGTTTGGATAATGGATTGGATCCGTTTTTCATGATTGTGGGCTAGGCCTCTTAAATTCTTTCCATTTTCAGCATAAGGATGGTTCCATGTACATATACACAAAATGATTATGTAGAGACTGGTGTTGAACCGTCCTCAATTTCACAAGGCCATTACATAAATCCCACCAAACAGCTTTGGAATGAATTTTCCGGGAACCAAGACGAGTTGCCATACATCACTGTCTGAGCACACTAATGCTCTTATGGTTGAATAGAAGCAAATCCCTGAAGCAATGTTCACACAAGGAAGACCTTCAAAGAAGACTGGAGCCTGTTTTAGCAGCACATCAAGAACCAATCTGATAATAGTCATGAATTTAGAGTAAGCTGTTCTAATAGACATTATTTTCCACCACAAAACCTATCAAATTATTAGTTCATGCTCACCAGAGATAATGTATTAGTATTATAAGCCAAGCCCTTATATGTATGACTGGATATGATTTTTCTTTTGGCAACTGAAACCGTTTTAATTAGCTCAATTACACCATTCTTCTTAATCTGATGCTACTGACTCTCTGCACACAGAGCGTCTAACAGGTTGGAGAAGAGGATAGATAGAGAACACCAACAAGGCTGGCAACTATGAGACCTCAACAGTGGAGATACCCAATACATTTCAGTGGGACAGAAATAAACTCTAGGCACTAATGGACATTCAATGAAGAGGAACACAGACATAAAAAGGTTACGGACTATAGGCACAAAGAGCTAGGACAACAGGTGGAAAACTGTGGGAAACAGAAAAGTTGCTTGTTTCCACATCATACATATGTTGTATTTTTGGCACCAAATCTTGAAAAGCACATATGACCAGATTTCTCTGAACTGTAGATGGATGGACTAAGGTCCCACTGGTTTCTATCAATTATGATGAGCTTATTGCACTGCTTGACATCTTCCCATTGCGAAGGAAAGGAAGCATAATGTGACATTAATCTTTTACACTTTTTGTGAATACCACTGTGTGCACGTTCTTCAACATTGCCCATTTCTTCTTTGACAGTTTGACAACACATCTGGAAACCCCTGTCTCTCTTGAAATTTCTGCCCGGGAGAGACCTTTGATGCAATATAACTATGCTGTATCGTGTTGCTGTGCTCGGTCTTCTCATGGTGTGTAACTTTTGACATTAAACCAATCTTGAGTTTGTCTGAGAACAGAGTTTGGCTGTTCATCGTCCAGCTTTATTCCTCCTGCACAGCTGTTTCTGTTTCACGTGCTGATTGTTTCAAAGTACATATTAAATTGATGATCATTATTAGCACCTGTTTGGTATAATTATTTAATCATGTATCTGACTATATGCCTACAAAACCCCTGACTTTGTGGAAGTATATCCTCAAGAACTGACACTGCTTTGAAATTCAAGAGTGTTCAGACCAAATATTGATATGATTTAGATTTTTCTTCTTTTCATTCACTTTGCATTTTGTTAAGTGAAACAAACTATTTAAGGAACACTGTAGCTTAAGGGATACAAACATGCTATGATGTAGTTACCTTTTAACTTGCAGGTGCTGGTCTTCCTACAGTCACCCTAAGTCCTCAGCTGAGATCATCAATCTTGATGATCTAAGCCAATTAGTAGCCTTGTGTGTATGCATAGCGAATAGGATGATGAATACTATCAGAAGCATTAAACAACTTTAAAAGTCTAAATTAGTTATTACAGTGGAAGTGTCAGAAAGACAGGGGCCCAGCACACTCTGTGTTCCCTCTCCAGCTGCTCTGTGTCTCACATTTGCGAGACCCATGGCCGCCAGAGTGTTGCCACGGGTTACCATGGCAACACGCCGCACAGCACGCAGGAGAGTCTCGCGAGGCTTAGACAGAGCTGGAGAGGGAACACAGAGTGTACTGGGCCCCCGTGTGCAGCGGCTGGCTCCCTCCACCATACTACTGGACCACCAGGCGATCTCCCCCTTCCCTGACAAGTTAAGAAGCAGGGAGGGGGGAATAAAATATATACACACATCATCCAGCACACACACACTATATTTATTATACACATACTGCACTCGCTACAAATACTACATACACTATGCACAATCTGGACTTACTACAAACACACTACATTTATTATACACACACTGCACTCACTACAAACACACTACATTCATTATACACACCCTGCACTGCACTATATGCATAGGAGTGTACAATTTTTTTTTAGGGTGGGGAATCTTGGGTGAGTTCCAACACTTTTTTCCCCAAGACTTGACCCCTGTGTATATATATATATATATATATATATATATATATTTATTTATTTATTTTTTTAAATAATGAATGTAGTAAGATTTGAAGTATATCACCTCGGTAAGGTGCTCTGCCAGATTTTGTGGGGTTTCTACGCCCATGTCGTAAGGGGTTAGATATGTAATTTGAAAAATCCTGCAGTACAGAAATAAATGCTAATAGTGTCTGACATTTAAAAAAAAAAAAAAAAAAGAAGTTTTTTCACACACTCATTTTTGAGTTTAACTGTGCCAGGAAACAATCAGCAGTAATTTAAAATGAAGGAAGTGTGAGAATAATAAACAGCACCCACTAATCTGATAAACTGCTATTATCATATGGTTTTTGGAACTCAGTGCAACCTGTTCTGTGCTTTTAACACATTCATTCAAGTGGGCATTGTGCTGGTAGCAGATTAGCGGTATCAATTTTTATCTGCTGTATGTACAATAACAAGAAACAATCTATTCATTTCCACTCATCATGCTGCAGGGCCGGTGCAAGGATTTTTGCCGACCTAGGCAAAAGTAAAGTTTGCCGCCTCCCCCCCATGTGACATCACAATGCCCCACCCATATGATCTGCCATGTTAACTAACGCCAGTGCTGCAGTGCCGCCGTGTTTACATTATAAGGCATGCAGGGACAGGCTATGGACACCAGAACCACTACATTAAGCTGCAGTGGTTCTGGGGACTATAGTGTTTCTTTAATGTGAGGTAAATTAGAGATTATTGCCACGAATAATATACTAGATTGCCTACTTACAACTAGAGATGTCGAAAACCGTCCACGAACTTCCCGCGAACGGTTCGTGGCGAACTCCGGTCAGCTGACACATCCCGGCCAATCTCCAGCAGACCCTCCCTCCCAGACCCTCCTACTTCCTGGACAGCATCCATGTTGAAGGCAGCTTCAACATGGATGCTGTCCAGGAGGTGGGAGGGTCTGGGAGGGATGTGTCAGCTGACCGGAGTTCTCCACGAACCGTTCGCGGGAAGTTCGCGACATCTCTACTTACAACCAGATGAGGATGATGATGGGCTCTAGCTGCAGTCTGGCTCCACTGGTCTGGTGTAGAACAGGCTCTCTGGAGGCGGTTTGTAACTGTGGTCACAAAAATCAATGTTCTGGGAGAACGGGAATCAGCTCCATTTTTTGGGGGCCCTTTACACAGCTCAAGGTCTGGGTCCCAGGGTCCACCTTCATGTTCCACCAATGAGTTTGTTCACAGGGGGTGGATTGTGTAGGGGATGTCCTGATATGTGTGTAAGGAATGCATTGTGTGAATCTGTGTTTGTATGTGTAAGGGCTGCGAGGTGTGTTTCTATGTATGTACGGGATGCATTGAGTGTGTGTAATGAATGCATTGTGTGTTTGTGTGTAAGGGTTGCATTGCTTGTGTGTGTTTTTCTGTGTGCAAGGGGTGCATTGTGTGTGATTGTGTGTGTGTGATGGATGTCAATCTCTCCCCACTTCCACTTCTCCAATTTCCTTCTCCCCCACTCCCTCCAAATTCCTCCCCCCCCCAATTTCTTTCTCCCCCCCTCCAATTTCCTTCTCCCCCACCTCCCTCAATTTCCTTCTCCCCCCCTCCACTCTCCCCACCCTCCCAATTTTTTATCATCCCCCTCCAATTTCCTTCCCCCCCTTCCACTCTCCCCCACCCTCCCAATTTCTTTATCACCCCCTCCAATTTCCTTCTACCTCCTCCCCTCCACTCTCCCCCACCCTCCCAATTTCTTTATCACCCCCCACCTCTGTTGGCCGAGCTCTGTATGGTCCGCGGGTACAGGGAGCTTTTGTTTCCTGTACCCGGCAAGACTAAAAGGAATAGCACACTGAGTCAGAAGCAGGGTGCCTAATACAGAGAAATGGCATCCATACAATTTGCTGAACGGATACATAGTACTAGAGAAATAGAGAGACTGTAATAGTGATAGAGATTATAGGGACACAGGAAGACATAGATATAGACAGTGAGACACACATTGAGATGCAGACAGAAATATATGCAAAGAGGGAGATACAGACTAAGATACATAGATAGACAGATACAGTGATATATAGAGACAGATAGAAGACAGATATACACATGAAGGCAGAAAGAGGAATTGGTAGTAACGACAGTTCTTGCAGACACAGCCGAGCTCACAATATAAAGCTTACCTTGGATTCATAAGTAAAATAGAGGAGTAAACATAGGAGTAATAGCGGACATGTGGAGAGGTCTGCCTTTCTTGTGAGGATTAGGAACAAAGTGGAAGTTAGGAGAAGACGAAAGTGCAAGTCTAGGAGTATGTTTTTGCCTCCCCTATTTAAGCAGGCAGTTGACAAGTGCATACCATCCAACTGTCCCTTTTTAGGAAGGACAGTCCCTATTTTTGGCCCTCTCTTCTAGGAGCTTACTATCTTGCTATTGTTGGTGTTGCTGAGTGTATAACAGAGCCCACATCAATATACAGTAATGTGTCTTTAAACTATAATAAATGTGTTTAAAAATCAGTCTGTGTAGTAAGATACACTGTTCTTATTATAAATTACATTTTAGTTGCATAAATTGTTATTAGTAAGTAACCTAAAATTTCTCAATACAGCTCTGCCCCTAGCCACACCACCACTCACACCCTAAAATTAAAGTATCCCTCTTTGTCTGTTTCAAATATTGGGTTTCATGCAAGTAATAGGAAGCTATAGTTCAGGCAAGCACTTTGATTGCTGGACCTGTATAAGATCAGTTGAGCTTATGGGCTGTCACATGCCAGTCCAGCATGTTGGATAGGACAGCACCTTACCCATTCAGTGTAATTCCAGCTGCAGGTATTTCTGCTCAATCATGATGTAAGTCAATCATAATTTAAACTTTACAGGCAGAATAATACACCTGCACCCTTGACACCTGTGGCCCCAAGCAAATACCTACAAACAGAGTCACCATACCACCATAACACATTGTTATTAATACTGTTCCATTGTTACATCAATTCTGTGCAAAAAAAGATGTCAGTTGTCAGTGAGTGTTGTGCCCTGGTGACAGACATCAGCTTCTCACTGCCTGAAAGGGGAATTTTACTCCCTGTATATATGCAAAGACCTCTCTCTCTCCCCAGCTCAGAGCACGCACATTTGTTCTGAGCTAGGGAAAACAGTTGAATAAAATGCTTCTCTGCGATATACTCTTGTATTTTGAACAGTGTTCACTGGAGAAAAAAAATAATGAGTGGGCATACTGGACATATCAACACTAAGACATCGTCTGCTACAGTCCTTTTTTTGAGAGTTCTGCTGGTCCAAATTTCCCATTTTAAGATAAAGAGCACATCAATATCAGTCAAAAAAATGTAATTACTTTTTGACTTTATACATTGCAACAGACAGATTTTACATGGAAATCTGCCATTTACAAAGAACTCCCTAACAAAAGGAAAGCTCAAATTAAACACACCACGACTGAACACGCCAAAGAGCAATCCAGTATGTAACTACCAAAATGGCTGACATCAAGGACAAGTCAAGATGAAAAGTAAATAGTGAGACTTATAGGTAACCAATCAGGTAAGGCTCACTATTTACCCTGCAGAGCTCAGTTTGTGCGGTGCCCTCGCTGGGTGAAGATGGATTATGTTTTTTAAGTGTCTGAGGTTTTTTTTTGGTGCTCTGGTTTTTTATTTTATTTTATACGTTCGATGGGTAGTATGTATTTTTATTTGGCTTTTTTGGGGCTAAAAAAATAAGGTTTAAGAAAAAAGAAGACATCAAATGGTGTTTTTTATTTTTTTTTTATTTACAGGAATTTAGTATTATTGTTCCCCCCCTCACTATGTTTAGGGTGAGGGGGTAGGTAGGACTTTATTTTATTTTTAGTCACCTAAGGGGGAGGGGGTTATTTTTTAATTTAGCTCACACCTGTCACCCATGGGAGGGGGGGAACAATAGTTCTCCCCCCTGTTCATTTAGGGCCCCCACCTGCTGCTCATGGCTGGGGGTTGGGGGGAGGACAATATGTCTCCCCCCTTATTGTTATTTAGGGCCCCCATGAGTGGGGGCCGAGGGGGAGGACACTAGGTTTCCCCATTGTCATGTAGGGCCCCCATCCGCTGCTCATGGCTGGGGGTTAGGGGGAGGACAATATGTCTCCCCCCCTTATTGTTATTTAGGGCCCCCATGGGTGGGGGCCGAGGGGGAGGACAGTAGGTTTCCCCATTGTCATTTAGGGCCCCCAACCGCCGCTCATGGGTGGGAGCTGAGGGGAGGACAATAGGTCTCCCCCCATTGTCATTTAGGGTCCCCACACACCGCTCATGGGTAGGGGCCGGGGGGGGGGGGCATTAGGTCCCCTCCCCCTTATTGTCATTTAGGACCCTGACCCGCAACCCTATGTCCCCCATTTAGTTAATTAGCCCAAACTCGAATGGCACAGGTGGGGACACTGTTTCCCCCCACTAGTTAATAGATGCCCCACCATGAGGGTCAGTTATTAGGGGGGGGGGGGGCTTTTTTAAAGTGAGTAGCCACAGGCTGCTCACTGTTTAGTAGACATGTTCCTACTTGTGGCATAGCGAGTAGGTGCATTCGGGAGATTTCAATCTCCCTTGTGCTAATATGGGGGTCATATCGACCCCATAGAGTGAGGGAGGACTTGGGGGGCTTAGGAAGTGGCGGGGTGCGCAGCTCCCTGCTGCTTCTATTTTTACACATTACAGGGAGGGAGCTGCACGCCAGTAGCTCCCTACTTGTAATAAACTAAACAATGTTCGTCTGACATTTCTATTCATTCGTCTTTCTGATGAATGAATGGACAAAATTCCCGTCCGAATTTTGGACAATAGCGAATGCCCTAGTATTTAACTGGGCATGTGCAGGAATTTTACAGCGCTACCCAGTATGGGCAGATGACGTGTCCCACAGGGCCTTCATATACCCACACAAAGATGGTGGGCACAAAATAAAGATTAAAGGTCTGGGCACAAAATAAAGATTTGAAAAAAAAATAGGTAATATATGGGGGGGCTAGGGGCATATAGGGATGACTAGGGGAGAAATTAAATGTATTGGAGTCGGGAGGAGGGTTTAAAAAAAAAATTAAAAAAATGATGCGGCCATGACAGTTTACGTTGAATTAAAAAATTCCCTCCCATCCATGAGATGTACAAAATATTACTCCATTTATAACAGTTCACAAACATCATTCTGTTTGATGATTCTGCTATCTGGCTCCCTGCCCATTCTCCACTTGTTGAACTGGAGACTTTCTACAGCAAAGTCAGCTTCCGTTTGTGTTTTTTGTTTTTTTTTTAAATGAGTATTAGAGGTTCTGCTGTTTTATATTTTTTTAAGTTCTTGTTACAATTTATTTTTGCCGTTTTACTTTTATGGGTTATGTCTGGGTTCTTCATGTTTTATCACTCCTCCCCAACTCTTTGTTTGTTATAGCAGTGTTGTTAAAGTTGTACAGGGAGTGCAGAATTATTAGGCAAATGAGTATTTTGACCACATCATCCTCTTTATGCATGTTGTCTTACTCCAAGCTGTATAGGCTCGAAAGCCTACTACCAATTAAGCATATTAGGTGATGTGCATCTCTGTAATGAGAAGGGGTGTGGTCTAATGACATCAACACCCTATATCAGGTGTGCATAATTATTAGGCAACTTCCTTTCCTTGGCAAAATGGGTCAAAAGAAGGACTTGACAGGCTCAGAAAAGTCAAAAATAGTGAGATATCTTGCAGAGGGATGCAGCACTCTTAAAATTGCAAAGCTTCTGAAGCGTGATCATCTAACAATCAAGCGTTTCATTCAAAATAGTCAACAGGGTCGCAAGAAGCGTGTGGAAAAACCAAGGCGCAAAATAACTGCCCATGAACTGAGAAAAGTCAAGCGTGCAGCTGCCACGATGCCACTTGCCACCAGTTTGGCCATATTTCAGAGCTGCAACATCACTGGAGTGTCCAAAAGCACAAGGTGTGCAATACTCAGAGACATGGCCAAGGTAAGAAAGGCTGAAAGACGACCACCACTGAACAAGACACACAAGCTGAAACGCCAAGACTGGGCCAAGAAATATCTCAAGACTGATTTTTCTAAGGTTTTATGGACTGATGAAATGAGAGTGAGTCTTGATGAGCCAGATGGATGGGCCCGTGGCTGGATTGGTAAAGGGCAGAGAGCTCCAGTCCGACTCAGACGCCAGCAAGGTGGAGGTGGAGTACTGGTTTGGGCTGGTATCATCAAAGATGAGCTTGTGGGGCCTTTTCGGGTTGAGGATGGAGTCAAGCTCAACTCCCAGTCCTACTGCCAGTTCCTGGAAGACACCTTCTTCAAGCAGTGGTACAGGAAGAAGTCTGCATCCTTCAAGAAAAACATGATTTTCATGCAGGACAATGCTCCATCACACGCGTCCAAGTACTCCACAGCGTGGCTGGCAAGAAAGGGTATAAAAGAAGAAAATCTAATGACATGGCCTCCTTGTTCACCTGATCTGAACCCCATTGAGAACCTGTGGTCCATCATCAAATGTGAGATTTACAAGGAGGGAAAACAGTACACCTCTCTGAACAGTGTCTGGGAGGCTGTGGTTGCTGCTGCACGCAATGTTGATGGTGAACAGATCAAAACACTGACAGAATCCATGGATGGCAGGCTTTTGAGTGTCCTTGCAAAGAAAGGTGGCTATATTGGTCACTGATTTGTTTTTGTTTTGTTTTTGAATGTCAGAAATGTATATTTGTGAATGTTGAGATGTTATATTGGTTTCACTGGTAATAATAAATAATTGAAATGGGTATATATTTGTTTTTTGTTAAGTTGCCTAATAATTATGCACAGTAATAGTCACCTGCACACACAGATATCCCCCTAACATAGCTAAAACTAAAAACAAACTAAAAACTACTTCCAAAAATATTCAGCTTTGATATTAATGAGTTTTTTGGCTTCATTATGAACATGGTTGTTGTTCAATAATAAAATTAATCCTCAAAAATACAACTTGCCTAATAATTCTGCACTCCCTGTATGTGTTACTTTGCCCACTTTATGGTTTTCTCAGGAAGATGATGTTACATGAGCTAGCTACTGTATATTAACCACCCCAATTTCTTCATTTTACACATTACTATTTATTTTAATTTCCTAACCACCATCCGCCATTTCGGTATCTCAAATAAACAAATAATTAAGAATCTTTGAATGTGGCAGTGACACTTTAGACTCTCTATGAGCGATATATGGATTGCAATGTATGTAAATATACTCTGCTACCAGTTAACCCATAGTCACAGACTAAACCCCACATAATTTTACACCTATACACGTTTACACACATCTTGCTCTACTTAAAGATGAGAAAAATAAAACGCCTGATGTCTGTACCAATAACAATGTCACATGCTCTTAATACTGCCTCTACTGCTTTCTACCTTAAAATATGTAGATAGGTCTATGAACCCAAAAGGCATGGAAACAAAAAGGAGTCACCCATATACCTCCGAGCTATAAAAAGTGAGCTGAATGGTGAAAAGCACACAAACCAAACTTACCAATTATGTACATAAAAATCAGGTGAAAATATCAAGCAGGACTACAATGAAACAAAAGAAAAGTACATATCACAGTTTGCAATAAAGATATCCATAAATTAATAATTCCTCAGAACCACTTACATGAAACAGAGCCATGATCAGGCTCTTCATAAAAAACAAGAAGGTCCCCCCTCATGGGCTTCAGGTATTTTAGTATCCTCACCATCGCCAGTGTTAGAGAATGCACCAAATAACAATTTAATTAAAACATACTTTTATGTTGCATTGGAGGATTGGCTGACTAACAGGCTGTCTAGCTGGCCCCACTCAGGGCAGCACACAAGCAGAGCTCTTTGGAAATGCTGTGTGCACAGGCTTGAAAAGGATATTAAGTGATATATTGCATCAATGCAAATAGTATTCCATTTATATAATTTTTTTTTTTTAGAATTCTTTATTTGTGGTTTATTTTGTTTAATACAATGTGGTATACAAGATGTGGGATACAGAAGAGAAATGGTGGCGAGGTAAAGAAAGGTATTGCACAGTAATACAGTTATACAGTCCCATCCCTCCCCTTCATTTTTGTTTCTGCGGTTACAATCACACAATTACCCATTACATATGCAAGGATGTCATAAGCTGGGTCAGATAGGTTGTGCAGTAGAGATCTCTGTCATTCCTCTGTGTTGCGTAACTCTGGTATATGGTGAGGAGTGTATATAGTCGCTTAGGTTTACCCCAGAATTGGCCCGGGGGGGGGGCTGTTATGCTACCGTATGGGTGTCAATGTTGCGGTCTACGTCAGTGTCCCTGGTTTCCTATATCTCCGCTCTGCCCCTCATCCCCGTTGACCAATCGTCTTTGTGGCTATACCATCGTTTGCTAGTTCTAGTACGTTAGTTGTCTACAATTGAAAGGTTTCGCAGAGTTAAACTGTGACCCTCTATGTATTCTTTTGTCCTCGCTTGGTTTCGTGAGTTTCGGGGTGTGTTTGTCACAGAGAAGAAAGGGAAGAAAGTTCTGAGACCTGTTGGTCCTGTGCAGGGGAAAAATAGTGGTACTAGGGCTAGGGTTGGTGGTCAAGGGGAACCTTCCCCAAAGTGGGGGGGTATAAGGGTTGGCAGTTAGGGTGTGGCGCGGCGCGGAGCCCCAGCCTGGCACGCCCCCTGGGGTTAAGGATGGCGCGGGCTTAAAAAATGTATCTGAGGGAGTTGATTCTTTGTAGTTAATTGAGAATGTCTACTACTGCAAGGTGTTTGCATCTGTAAGAGTTAGAGTTGTGTTTACCAGGGGAGGTATCCCCTTCCAGCCATGGGTCCCAGATTTCGTGAAAGTGTTTGGGCGTATCGTGGAGTTGGGATGTAAGCTTATCCATTTGTACTTAGTCCTGTATTTTTTTTGGTTATGAGCAATTGTGAGGGTAGCCGGTTTGTCGACCATAGTTCCGCTATTGCTCGCCTCGCTGCCAGAGCGATGCGCGTGCTAAGTTTGTTTTCTGCTCTGGTTAGGGTCTCTAGAGGTTTGGAGAGCAGTAGGGCCCATGGATCTAGAGGGTGTGGCTTATGTAAGAGTTTCGTCAGTAATGTAGTGACGCTGATCCATAAGGGTTTAATTTTGGGGTAGGTCCACCAGCAGTGGAGGAATGTCCCCTGCTCTCCACAAAGATTCCAGCAGGTGTGGGGTGCTTTGTGGATGATTGCTATGCGTTAGGGGGTGAGGTACCAGCGAAAAAGCATCTTATATGCTTTTTCCGTGTGTGTTACACAGATGGAGATCTAGGCTGTTGCCTCCCATATATCTGCCCAGTCCGAGTTGTCCTCCGGTGGTCCTAGATCTTTTTCCCCAAGCCTCTATGTATGACAGTGTTATTTGGGTGGGGTGAGGGGCCAGGGTCGTGTAAAGGTCTGAGATTTCCATTTATATTTTAATTCTGGAAAATGTTTGATTATTTTGGTCAATAGAACTCACACAATGCTGTATACATATACAGTTGTACCTTTTTACTATTTGTCATTTTGAGTGTGTTGTCAGTAGTATTTCTATTAATGGAACAGAGGCATTAGAATTGGTGGTTTGCCTCGATACTAGCACCTTAACATATTAGCTTGAGTGCTGACATTTATATGTACCTTTAAAAGGACAATCCACTGCCCAAATAAAAATTGCTGTTTTGTAGCTATATCCCCACTAAAAATATGCATGCATTTAATTATGCTTTTTTATCTTAAAAAAAAAAAAAAAAAGTTTGCAAAATCTGCAGAGGTCTTGTCTGAAGCCTTTTAAATCCCTCCTGTTCTAATCCAGAAAATCTGTAGCTGTGAAATAGATTTCCCAGGTCAATGAGAAGACTTTGCAAGGCAGTTGCTCTGAGCAAAAGAGGAGACAGCATTATCACATGTAATGCTTTAGGAGTCAGGAGTGTTCCTTTAATATCCTGAATTTAATTGGTCTATTAAAGATGTATCATATGCTCTGTGGAGTGGTGGCAGTTCTATACCGCTGGGAGGTCCACACCGGGACATCTTACCCATTCGATATGATTATTTACCTTGAGGATATTAAGTGTTTTTCCCAATTATCAACATTAATATTAAAGATTGTCCCTGTTGTGCCAACGCACAGAATTCACTATTCACAACTTTGAGAGTTTGTTTTTCAAAACTTGCAGAGAAAAAAGGTACAACCTTAAAACTGATCATTTAATCCGAAATAACATATGCGATATACCTATTACTAAATGATTATTCTCCTGTCCCAGGAGATCTCACTAAATTATATTATAAAAATATTCTGTGACTACATCATTCTTTTGCCTGAAACTAACCAGAGTAATCACTACACCCTACCTAAACCGGACAAATCATGCACAATCTGCATGTATTTTACGCTTAATACAAAAAAATTTACATGAAATGGTTAGCTAATCATTAATTCCCTGTACTTCATTAAAACAATTAACAGACTTTATTAATGACAGCACTCAAACTCAGATGGTGTAAAACATTAACAAACCTTCTGGGGCTAATAAAAAAAAAAAGAAAAGGCTTTTCATACGGGGTTATTTACTAAAGTGAGAATTGCCGGGAATGCAAAGTAATTTTGCACATTTAAGGCCAACGTAGCAGAACTGGAAGAATAGACTGGGAGAATTTTTCTACTTCAGCTCTTTTGACCTTAAATTTGAAATTTATTTTGAATTCCCAGCAATTCACACAATGAATAACCCTGTTAGTGTTCATTGGAAAAGCATATTCTACAGTCTTAAGATGTCACTGTAATTAACTGAACCACGTCATCTCAAAGAAGTGGTCTAAGTGGATTGGCCCAGCAATGTAGAACATTGCTGTTTTTGAGTCACTGCAATGTTTACATTATATGTCTAAACACACCTGTGCGGTCTGTCTTCCTGACAGCCGCAAGATGGAGCTTTCCCTGTAAGAACCAAGTCAGTTATGTGACGTTCAATGTCTTTAGGCATTGCACAAGTACGTTGAAGCACTGTGTTGACTGCATATCTATGAGAAGTACTTGATTGGAGGAGTGTGGCGATTACCACACATGTACATGTTGTCAGCAATGCTATTCTATGAGAAGCACTGGATTGGAAGATAAGTTGGAATACATCAGAATAACTTGGTGATGAAAAAGAAGGCAGAAGGCAGGAGGCAGCTGCAATGACTGTCTCATAACGGGAAACAAGGCAACTAAAATATTAATAGAGCTTCAAATGAGTCAGTAGGAGAATCTAAAACTACTACTACAGTGGTTTTAAATGTTACCAGTTAATTTATTAAATGGAAACCTGGAAAGGCTGTCCTCCATCACCCTGTTTATTTGCACTCTCATTTGAAATCTTGAATTGTTTATGTAAATATATTTAACAAAAAACAGCAGTTTGTGTTCTAACATTATATGGCATTGCATAAAATATAATGTTCTTTAATTTAAGCATCAAAGTTCTTGCATAGTGATTACATTTGCTTCCCCACTTATGTATTTGACTCACTTCAAACTCAATAGAATTACTGAAATATAAATTTACTGACAGAATGGAAAACTACACAATAGAATTTATAGCAATTGCCATATGAACTGCTGTGATCAGAATAAAAGCATCAACTGTTACTGCCCAAACTGCAATCTCATGATAATACTTAATGTAAACCGATAAATAAATAGGGTAAAGTTGTTGTTTTTTTAAATGTTTGAATTTTCTTGGCCTTGGTACAAAACTTTATGCCTCATACCATTTTAAAAATTAAAAATTGGGGGCGGGGCCTGACTAGCATGGAGGACAGACGTGCTTTAGCAGAGCTCCTCAGAAACCAGGGTGATTAATCACACATCTAGCCACGCAAAGCCTGCAACAGATGACAAAATTCGACCTACCTGACCCATGACTGGGCAGGACACTGATACTGCGGTCTATGACCCACCTGGAGCCTGTTGGTCGCACTCCACACAGCATGAGGACTAATGTGTGCTGGCCGGTAGAGGCGGCCGATCTCTCGGTCCGGCATCACATGGTGATAACGCAAAACGAGCAAAAGCTCCATTTCTGCCCCCTCCGGGTGATCATGGTCCAACCCAGAGAGGCAAATCTGGATCAATGAGAGCGCAAGGCGAAGTCGCTTCCATATACCTACAACCCAGCGCGTCACCCATCATGGCAGACACCACGTGCCTCCCCGGTCCCATTGACTCACACCATGGACTCTCACAAAAGCTGGACACACTGCTTGCCAATTTCTGGTGCACAATACAGGGCAAAACACAACCACTTGCCTCACAACAGCTAAGCAGCCTTCTAACCAAGAGGCTGCCTCCAAACCGGAGGAACACTCCAAAGGCCTTACCTGCAGGACAGGCCTCCTCATGGCGGCTGACCAACAAACACAAGAGGCTGAAACACTGCAAGCGACAATACTGAGATCCCAATGCACAGTGGAGATGCAAGACTACATGCTCAGTCAAACCACCTGGTGGTACCAGTGTCCATAAGCCTACATAGTCCAGCTTTACCACAGATCCAAACCCTACCAGCAGACCAGCCCCTTCTACAGGCACTTGGGCACAGGAACCTGCATGGCCTGGCCGAGAGGCAGAAACGCGGGACACCCATGGCAGAACGGGATAATAGTCTGCGCAACCACCTCTGCCAGAGACGCTTCACAATTCATCAGCACGCTCCTGGCACTTTCCGATCAAATGTATCTGCAGACACACTGTCTATTACCCAGAACAAAACCCCTTCCTCTGCCGTATCTGAATCCCGCATAACATGATACTGCCCCCACTTCATTCCATCTGTCACTGCGGTCCAGACGATATGCTTAAATTGAATGTGCTCCAGTTTTTTTTTTTATTAGTTTGCCTAGCATATTAATCCAATTTATTATTCTGTGGACATCACTTTTCCTGTCTAGAGAGTCTCCTCTGCTTCACAGCTTTCTATAGATACTGGACATGTATGCCTAGCCAGTTCCACACCATACTATTATTCTACATATATGGACTAAAGCAAGCCTGAACCTGCCAGTTGATATGGGAGGATATATATGAGTACGTGTGTATCTATATGTGTACATGCAAATATATGTGTATGAGTCTCGACCCTCTCATAAAGGTCAGGATTATATATTAGGTTATGACTTTAGATAAATTACTTGACATGTATGCCTTGCTAGCTTACTTTAACAAAAAGAAAACTGTTGAAACCTTGCTTCTACTAAAACAAAAATGTGCCTGACTAGCAAGTGTCACAACTTGAATTGCATACTGAACTTATGTATACCTTGATACCACTGTTGTGGCGTACTAAGACTGTTTGTTAATTTTGAGCACAAGAAAAGTTAAAACAAATTTAAACCCCTTAAGGACACATGACATGTATGACATGTCATGATTTCCTTTTATTCCAGAAGTTTGGTCCTTACGGGGTTAAAAATGATTTTTGTAAGTCAAATCCTTATTTTATTTCTCAGTAATACTACACTGTTGTGTGTTGACATTTCAGTCTGACTCTGGACTATTTGAAAGACAAAAAACAATGGCTAAAATTAAGATTTAAATAAGATTGATCAACCTAAATAAAAAAGGGATTGTGATGCAAAACCTTGTGATGTGACTCATAAAGCATCTTAAAATCCACTGGGGTGGACAGTGCTCCTTGATAATTGTAACAAATAAAATAAAGCAAGTGTTACTATTTAACCCCTTAGTGAGCAGACTGTTTTACAATTTTCTTACAGTTAAGGACCAGGCCTGTTTTTTACATTTCTGTTGTGTTTAGCTGTAATTTTTCCTATTACTCACTTACTGTAACCACACATTCTATACACAGTTATTCTCGCCATGAAATGGTCTTTCTAAAGATACCATTATTTTCATTTTATTTATTTTTTTTAAAACACTTTTTCTAACATGACCCCCAAAATCTGTGACGCATCTACAACCGCCAAAAAACACCCATGCTAGTTTCTAAATTTTGTTTGAGTTTAGAAATAACCAATGTTAACATGTCCTTAGCTTTTTTTTTGCAAGTTATAGGGCTATAAATACAAGTAGGACTTTGCTGTTTAAAAAAATCTATATTTAAAATTTATCAATAGTGACATTGTAACACTTATCTGTCATAAATCTCTGAATCACACCTCACATGTACATATTTAAAGTAGACAACCCAGGGTATTCAATATGGGATATGTCCAGTCTTTTTTAGTAGCCACTTAGTCACAAACACTGGCCAAAGTTAGCATTTATATTTGTGAGTGAAAAATGCAAACAAAAAATTATGAACGCTAACTTTGGCCAGTGTTTGTGACTAAGTGGCTACTAAAAAAAGATTGAACATACCCCTTTTGTAAATGGTATGCCATCATGGAGGTAATGCTCATTCCTGGGCTACTAAATGCTCTCAAAGGCAACAGAAGCAATCTGGCAAATTGCAATGTGAAAAAATGGAAAATCAAGCATTATATTTGACCCTGTAACTTTCACAAACACTATAAAACCTGTACATGGGAGGTACTGTTATACTCTGGAGGCTTCGCTGAACACAAATAGTGTTTCAAAACAGTAAAAAAAAAAAAAAAGTACAACAATATCAGTGAAAGTGCAGTTTGTGTGTGAAAAATGCAAAAAAAAAAAAAGTCACTTTCACTGATAATATCGCTATGATATGTTTCACGGTTTTGAAACACTAATATTTGTGTTCAGTGAAGTCTCCCGAGTAAAACAGAACCCCCCATGTGTGGGCGCTAGAAAAAAGTAAAACTAAAACTAATTTTTGGGTTAATGCAGGTGGGGAGACCTTAAAACAAGTAGGGACAAGAAAACGCTAGAGTTAAGATTATATATTTTCATGTATATCTTTGAACAAATTTCTTGATAAATATGGTCTACAAAAAAAAAAAAAACACAACTTAAAATTCTTCAAACATTTATTTATATAAAATTATTCAGAAACATAAAAAGGTTAAAAAAAACAAAAACAAACTGCGTTATATACAGCAATATTGCACAGGAAAAGTGGCAATTACCCTGTCAAAATAATCAGTGCAAAATGCAAGAAAGCCAGGGAAAATTGCATGACATTAAAAATGCTACATAAATGCTGGGTCCTATGAAAAGACATTAGTGATTAATTAGAATGAGTGCTTCTGTTTCATATAACACCCATGCCCTAAATCAACATGCTTTTTATACAGTAACCAACAAGTTGGTTGATTAAAAAAAATAAAAAGTACATTTTAAAATAAACAACTAATGGAGAAATACAGAAAGAAACCATTAACACCTTTTTATTTTTACATCGTCAGGGTTGTAATAAACATTAATGCGTTTTCATAAGAGAGTACCACTCAATAGCATATACAAACAGGGGTAGTGCGAGTTGTATTTTCAAAGGTATGTTACATTTATAGTTTACTAATCATTTGCGTGCCTGAGTAATGCCTTGACTTACATACAGGCAGAGGACTGAACAAGCCTAGACACTGCTAGTTTTAGACCAGATCATCAACAACCATATAATATTGCCAGAGTTGTAACACCCCACCAACACCCAAAAAATTGAGAATACCCTAAACTCCTCAAGTATTCTTGGAGTTTGACAACTCGTTCTGTGCCACACTGAATGACTTTAAGCACCTTCTCAAACCACAGCTGTTGACCAATCAGGAGTCAGCTGACATAGGCATATTGAGAGTTACTTATATGGAAAATCCCATAGAGTTATGGTGGTGTACTAGAGGGGGTTTTGGGTCTCTACTGATTGTATCTGAAAGATCTATTCCGGGTTCTCTGCATAGTCAGCCTATTGATAGGAAGTCTGATTTTTTTTTTTTTATTCCAGAGTAAGTTCAATGTAATGTCTACCGCAAACTGCTAAAGTATGTAACAGTATACATACCAGGGGACCTTAACTTTCCAGAGAAGAGAAGCACTATAAAAATGGCAAAAGCATGGAATTTCAAGGTCCAATTGCCTAACCCAGCGACAAAACCCTAAAACGTGGTGTTTTGTGAATTGGCAAAGCAAACCAATACACTACAGTACAGGTTTACTGGAGATAAAGGAATACTTTACACCTGACCTCGTGGAACAATTGAGTTATACAGTAAGGACAACCTGCATTAGGACTGGGACAAGTACTCTTAGCAAACCAAGATATTTTAAACTGGGCAAGTTATCCTATATCTAAAGCTAGTTACAAAATGTGTGTTGCAGGAAAAGACAGAAAAAAAAATTTTTTTTTTTCAAAAGTGCAAATTATTAAAAGTAGTCAGTTTGGATTGAACTCTCAGGATTCATTCCAAAAGGAGGGGAAAAAAAATACATAAAATAAAAACAAAATCAGGACACTTATAAAGTCTGTAGTAGTGCAATCATTATCATCATACCACAGCTTCGAAGCAGTGGGTTTTGTTTTGTTTTTGCAGACGGGGTTTAGTAGGACCCCCATGGGCTTCAGTAGCTTTGGTGTTTTGTTGATCACTCAATCCCACCAAGCCTATGTGTTCAAACACCGTCACAATGTTAGAGAGCTAGATCTCTGATTTTGGCTCTGTTTATTTTACATTACCACATACATACATACAAACAAACATTCCATATACCAGAATGACCCATCATTATAGGAGAACAGCCATAGAGTCTGCAACATGCACAGAGAAAGTCAATAAGCAATATGGACTGCACAAGTAGTATATGCACAAAATGTTTTTAAAATAGCTGAATTGAGATTTTGCTTTTAAATTGGTATACACAGTCTAGCAGTGTGATTTTACTGGACAGGTTTCTTGACAATAAGAATTTTAAAACTGGATTCTGGTTCTGCAATTTTTAATCCAATTTATCAACTCAATTCAGCCAAACATTTAAGGTTATTGTAATAAATTTCCCAAGCCCAGTGTAAAGATTTACACCTACCTGAAGCCTACAAGTTATCAAATTTGTTTTGCAGGTGATGGGTGCATTGTAAAGCCTTCTTGAAAGCCCTCATCTATGATTTCAGTAAACTGAACAAACCAGGTTAGTTTAAATGGAAGACTTTTCGAAAAATCGCACCCGGTTCACTTTATGGATTTTAAGCAAATTCCATAATGTATATATGAAGAATTGAATGAAGGTCCATAATACCAGAGGTGAACAAGATGAGTAGTAAGATCAACATCTACTACCAAGAGAAAATTGTACATAAAGACAAATACACATATATAGTAAAAAATAAAAAAAATTACAAAATTCACGGACGCGATCAATGGCAAAGAGTGAAATATAGCCCTCATGTTTAGATTAACACGGTGTATAAAAACTATCAATTGCCGCATTAAGGGATTGTCATAACAGATGACCAGTGTTGTTCCTTCAGACAGCCCAGCATAAGGACTAAAGTCTCTATTAATAAGCTTTCTAAAGGATTGTATACGGTTAGAAGGATGGGGGGGAAACATAAAATAAAAACAAACACACACAACTTTCAAAATGTTTTATCTACAGAAAACACCATTAAAAGTCTATGGAGTTTTTTTTTTTTTTTGTAGTTAAATCATTTCCAAAGATTTTCCAACAGTGAGCATTTGGAAAGCTTATTAAATGAAGGCCAAATGTTTCATATAGACAACCCTATAAAATAGCAAACATGAAAAAATTAAAAAATTCATTTTTTTTTTTTTTTTTTTAAAGTTGTTCAATGAGTATTTTAGGTACTTAAAGATGTACAATTAGGGGAGGCCACTCTTTAGGAGAGCTGCCCCACAAAGGTATCTTTTAGAGGAAAACTAAATACAAACTCTATAAAGTGCCTTGAAATACGAATTAATTTTTTTTTTTTTTAAATATATAAACACAAAAGTCAGACCTTTGGCGTCATTTGTAACAGGATGTTGAAATAGGCAATTAATATGCCTATACTACCTACCAGAAGAAAAGTATTGCCTGAGCAAATCCTAAGTTAAAACACAAAGATTGTGAAAACTAAAGAGCGTGTGGGGAGGGGAACTTAAAAATGGAAAATTAAATAACATGAAAAGCCATAAATATACATCTTCAGAAAGTATACAGAAGAGCTAATTACAGTAAATTTACAGTATGTACAGTAGTTTTCAGAGTGGCCTGCGCACATTGCACTCTTCTCTGGCAGACAACATTTTAAAGAACTTCCACTATTTAGATAAGTTTTTTGTCTTTTTACAAATTTAGTTTTAACTTTTATTTTTTAACGCTTACTAGCCAGAGTGGACTGAAATGTGTATCGGAACCCTATGGTGCAGAAGTGGTAAAGGATTACAGTCTCAAGGTTTGAAATGGAAGGAGAGGTGGACAAACTTAATGAAGTAAGAGATTCAATGGATCAAAAAATAAGATTTGGCTCAGTTATCATTAACAGAAAATAAATACACCAGTATTTACAGTAACACAACAAGGTAACTAATGGCTTTGAAATCACAGATTACTTACTTTTACATTTTCCCCAAGACAAGAGGGGAAAATAAAAAAATGAAAATGGAGGGGGGAAAAAGAAAAGAAAATCATAAATATAGGCAGGAAGTACATATCATAATAAGCAGAAAACAAGACTGTGCAATTACAGGGTTAAAAACGTCCTTCTCTGTATATTTGAAAGATGTTGAAATACTGAGATTACCCAGACCTAACAATGCTACAGACTATAGCTATGTGAATGAAGACCTTATTCAGAACAGTAACTAAGAAACACATTGACTGAATTATTACCAAGAATGAAGATCCTTGCACTTAGAACCATTTTAAATGTTGTCACATCAATATATCTGTTGGAATGCATACCTCCAAACTTTGGTGTTTGATGAAGCGGGACGCTGATGAGAAAGGTTAAAGGTCTGCACGGAAAAGGGGCATACGCACACCAGGCATCCTGTCATTCAAGTAGACCAGCCCTCCGGTGGACTACAAAGATTTAATTATCTGTGTGGGTCCTGAGCATATCGATTGATGCACTCGCACTGTGCTTGCTGGGGAACTGTTCCCTGGTGTCCCCAATAGTGGGAAAACAAGCAAAGCTGGGATAGGGTAGGAAACTAGCAACAGACATGTTTTTAGATCAACTGGCTTATTAGGGAATTGTTAAGGCTCTTCCAAAATGATGTGAAATGTTAAGGCATTGTGCCACTCATTCTAATGAGTAACAAGTTTGCGGTCATTTTATTATTTTACTGCATTTTGTAGATTGTATTAAATATGTTGCTGTGAAAGTTAATCTGAGCATATTATCGTTTAAGTCAGATGTCATGGACTGGTGATTTTATGCACATAAAAAAAAAAAAATAATAAAATGCCTTTTTATTGTTATAGAAAAATTCCCTTCTACTACAAAATGCTCCAATACTTTAAAAGAACAATGCTTTTAGATTTACACTGATCCAGACAGCCCACTACTCTGTGATTTCCCAGTAACAATTGGCATAAAACCAGTTGTATCCCAACTGAAGAGTCATCTCTTCTATGTATGGTAATCTAAGTTACGGTTGCAGCCCAACATACTATAGGATTAAAAGCACCAACCACTTTGACTCATTGGTACAGATTAAACATTATAGCTCTGGTATACTTTGTAGCATTCATTAATAAAGTGGCACAAGTGCATTAAGGCACTGAGAAGTGATCTCAAGAAACAAATAAAAATAAAAATTGAGATTGCCACATAACCTGTGCACAAGATACTATCCACACAAAGCATTTGCAGAACTAGTACCAGTAACTCCAACAATTACTGGAGACGTTCTGCATTGAGGGTGGTGCTATCAATGTAACAATATGACTGATCTTCTCAAAGGACTGACCAACTGCCCACTCCCTTAGCAGGTGATGAGAAGTTGACAAACCCAGTACCGAGCATACCAACTTGGCAAGCAACCACCACAAACCTTGAGGAGAATGTAGAAGGAAAACCAGACCTGATGCATATATTATATGGACAATGATTATCTCAGAGAAATATAAAATAAAAAAGCAGGAATATTTAAAGTTGTTAAGCACATGATAGATAAAAGAATGCTATATTAATTTCTTTGGTTTTTTTTTTTGCAAAAAGGCACACGTATGTATAAATGGAAGATTCGGAGCATAAAATGCAAGGCAGACAATATTTCCTAACGGACCTCTCTCATTCAGACCGATGGACAAACTTTATAGAAGAAAAGTTCACATGGAATTTAGATCAATGGATTTAAGTTTGTCTTAACTTAATCTTTGCTGAAAGTATTTTAGTGTGGGTAGTTTAGAACAGAATTAAATACAAAGTATCTTTGGCAAAACAAGCCCTTATTTAAAATAATCCACACCAACACCTTGGAGCTCTGTAGAGCGGCTCTATGACTCTAAACGCGGCCTGGTGTCAGATTGACCCACATAAAACAAACGCGTCCAGTGCTATTTTATTCTCCAGACTCTGGAATATTGAGATGGTCTTAATTAAGAAAAAAAAAATTCATCAGGTAAACTAATGGAGATAAGCATGACCATACATTAAAAATAAAATAAAATTTTTATTTTTAAAAAAAAGTATTTTATGGGAGTGTTAGAATGTCTAAAAGCAGAAAGGTCTGGTTTAGTTTTGTTACATTATACTACTCCAGACAGACTAGTAACCCAATAGACCAAAGTGTACCTGTTATACGGTAATTGTTCTATCATATGAAAATATCAGTCATCTGTGTGGCTTACAATTTTGTAAAAATCACCAAGATATATGTAAGTGACTGTAAAAAGAATACATACTTAGAAAGGGAAAGGCTCAAAACTAGTCATATGAAAATTTGAGCGGTTTCTTTTTCTCAACGACACTGGAGAGAATAGCACTAGTCAGTAAGACAAGAAATGGAGCAATATGTGATTGTACCCTTCATATCAGCATTTACCTGGTTTAAAAAGTGCTTTCGAAAGCAAGGGGGAAGAGGTTTTATTAAAAAAATTTAAACTAAATAAAGTCCTACCATTCTGGAACTTTGATTTTGTCAACAATTTTGCTTAAATGTTCAACATCACACCCGACTAAATGGTATCCAACCTATTGCCTGCAGCTGCTAGACTTTAAATTTCCTTCATTTTCTACCAGCTTGCATTTAGTAGGGGGTTACAGGAACTTGAGTCCTACGAGAGTTGGAAAGCCACCATGAATGTTTACCATCCCAGGTCTATAATCTGCCTGCTAACTCCTTTATGTGGAAGGATTCAAATCACATTTAACAATTTCTTTTTTACTTTTTTTGCGCTTTGTTGGACATATTTTCAGATGTGCATTTGTTTAGATTAAGCAGTTAACATGTGCATGGACTACAAACATTTGCTGTTTGAGTGATTATGTATACATCGTGCACACACGCGTTTTAATGCCACAAGAGGCTTGTCTGCAGCTCCAAAATTATGTTATCACAATCTACAGCAAATGGCACAAGTAGAATGAATTCTGGAACAAACTCTGGGGTTACGAGTTTAGGAACTATAAAAAAAAAAAAAAATGCAGATAAATATTCCTACTAATGTTCCTGGAAAACATTAGGAATAGTTATCTTGTTGAGAAAGGACAATACTGCTTAGAAGAAATCACAGGAAGGAGTCCAATGAATTCTGAAAAAAAAGTGCACTTATGCATAAAGGAGTATTCTGAGCTTAGTATATGGATTTCCACAAAGGAAAAATCTGATACAGAGATGTGCTTGTGAAATGTGACCAGCACTGCGAGCGTTACATCTTTTACACTAGTGCTGCTGAAGAACAGAAGGAAAAAAAATTAATTGGTTGGGACAAATTTGATTGTGAAAAAGGGAATATGATGGAATGTCTTTATATCCCTATTTGTGTACAATCTAAATAGACACTGAACAAGTCATTATGTATCTGGAGCATATATGCAACGTGGTGGCTGCAGTTAGTACCAGCAACATATAGGATCCACCCACCAGATTAACAAGCCCATCTTTTACAAACAGAAACCTGGTTGCAGGCTCTGTCTGATGATTTAAAATAGCTGGGCCATATAATATTCATGAAACAGTTGGTCCTATAGACAGACATATGGTCCCTTCACTGCCCAGACGGGTATGTCCAAGTACTTTTTGTATCGTACCTGTAAGCAAGGTGTAGATAAAGTGATGTACAGTTACATCTTACACCTTACTGCTAAGCCAAAGAAACCAAAAAAGTAACACATTGCACATTAACACAGGTAAAAAGGAAGTGCCCATATTTTTTTTCACCCTTGTTGAGAGGACGCCAGATACAAAGCTAGAATGGAGCAAGACTGCCTTATTTTTGTTAAGCAAATTGAAATTATAAACTGCCCAGAATTCAGTAAATTCCAACATGGATGCATCGTATTGAGGAACAATTGTTTCCAGTAATATATCCTTCCAATGATGATTGAACCAAAGTGAACACATCCCAGACAAGTCACTTATTAAGGTCTTTATGGAAGAATATAAAAGTTTACATTAAAGAAATGTTTGGGAAACCTTGATTTCATAAAAGGCCCGTAAAACTGGAAGAGCACAAGCAAGCACCAAGATAGCCATGTCATGTATGGTCTTAAGAACACAAGCTCCATTTGTGATGTCCTATCACAATTTTATGCTCGGTACAAAGTAAGGCAGCTATGTGGCTCCGGCTCCGCTGGTTCACCATTGCAGTAATTTCCACAGGTCAGATGATAAAATGCATATTTCAGTAGATGTGTAAAAAGTTTGATGAAGCTTTTTCTTTTTTTATGTACATAAAATATAAAAATTTGTCTACTCTATAAAATACATCAATTAATGATTTTTCTTTTAAAATTTCATTAATGTATCATTGGATTGATACTTGGATTGTAATTTTTTTTTTTTTTGAAAGAAAAATTTAAAAAAATTCCACTTTTCGAACATGCCTGAGTAATGTTCCAGGGAAGAGCAGAATTCTCCCCAAGTTCCACATAGCAAGTGTGCAGGCATGTGAATTGCATAGTTATATCTGCTGATGGTCACATGTGCTATAAAATGGAAGCAAGCAAAGAGTAGAATGAGGATGATGGAGAGATGTAGCATTTCTCCTTCAGAGGTCGAGATTTGTTAAGATCAGTCATTGCATCCTCCAAATGAATCGAATAAGGAAACGCAGCACACGCAGGATTACCACTTGCTCTGGTGCCCGGCGTCCGTTGTCAAGGAATCCCTGCAATTAAATAGAGATGTGTCAAATTTGTCTTAGCATTCTCAAAGATTCTGTACAATTACTAAAATAACAAGGAAAATCAAACAGATATAAATAGAATTTGTAATTTATTTAATTTTTAACTGGCTAAAAATGAGGTAGTACTGCATGTTTTCCCATCATTTCCATTACTTGGTATAAATATATGATTTCTACATGTATTCTGTAGTGATCTCTTGGGTTTTACAGCTCCGTGTTGGAGTATAGCAGTACAGTGTATTTCTGGCCATTTCTTGCCCCAATCTTTATACAGATGGCTTACATCTCCCCAGATATAAGTAACGCCTTTTAATTCTCAGTTGATAAAGTATATTGTTTAACACCTTCAGGACTGGTAACCTCAAGACCACATAATAGCACAACAATTAATATTTGCCTAACCCTAAAAAGGGGTCAATTTCAAATGCATACATATAAAATATTTATATTTATATATTTATTTATTTTTAAAGTGAAATGTTATTTGTAATTGATACAGAAAATAAATAAATCTATTAAAGAAAAACTATGCATGTGCATTGCAGTTTTAAGAACCATAGAAAGTAATTCTACCCAGTTTATTGACAAGACCAACAATGCAAGGAGCAAGGTGCATAAATCAAGCAAATCATGAAAATATATACATTTTTCCATTAAATCGTCCAACTTTTTTTCATTCACTGCTTAAAGGACCACTATAGTGCCAGGAAAACAAACTAATTTTCCTGGCACTAGGTAGTCCTTAGGTCCCCCCCCCACGGCCCCCCTCCTGCTGGACTTTAACCACTTGCCTTTCTCCAGCGCTGGGGAACTTTCCTCCGCCGAATGCGCAAGAGCAGCGCACGCATTCAAACCACCCATAAGAAAGCATTACTCAATGTTTTCCTATGAACGTCAGCGTCTTCTCATTGTGATTTTCACAGTGAGAATCGCGGAAGCGCCTCTTGCGGCTGTCCATGAGACAGCCACTAGAGGCTGGGTTAACCCTCAGTGTAAACATAGCAGTTTCTCTGAAACTGCTATGTTTTCAGCTGCAGGGTTAAAACTAGAGAGACCTGGCACCCAGACCACTTTATTCAGCTGAAGTGGTCTGAGTGCCTATAGTGGTCCTTTAACGGAATAAAAGGCTTGCTTGGAAAATACCCCAGACAGTTAATCTACCGGCTGTTGAAATGCTTATAAAACTATGTGATTATGTTGATTCTCTATTCCAGAATTTATTAAATCAGTCTGAAAATTGTGTAGATGCCTGTTAAGCAATTTAGCAGTTAACATCTCCTTTATGTTTAAAAAAAAAAAAAAAAAGTGAAAAAACATGAAGTGCTTGCTTTTGTAAAGTTTCAAAATGCTCTTTTTTCCAGGTGTACAAAAAGAACATGGTTATGGGTTTAATCACTTGAGGTCAAGGGTTACGAAAATCACATCCGTAAAACTCCAGATTTGGATTTGGGATTAAGCCAAGGAGTAGTTTAGTTGGATGTGACGTTTTTCCACTGGTTTCTATGAACCGTTTATGGCTGCATGAATTAAAGAAATGGACAGAAAATTGATCTACTGAACAGGTACATGTACTGAACGTTAATTCTAATCACTTGACTGCTGGTAATTTGAATATATTTGCTGATTTGATCCTACCAAAATCTAGTTGTACCAAAATGAGCCAATTCTCTTTATTATTAAAACCACAGTAGGAGGAAACCATAAATAAAAGAGCTACATTTCCTCCATTGAAATACAAATTATAACACAGAATTAATTCTGGGCTGTTTGAATGTAGTTTACCCACTTCTACAGCACTATCCAACCTGCCAAAAGCGTGCAATGAAGCTCTTCAGTTTGAAAGACTTGAGTCCTCTTTTCATGTGCATACTGAATGTACAATTGGTTTCTAGACTTATGCACTGCAATTTAGGGGAGTTAGTGATTTGGTTGAACCTCTGAAGACCCACGTGGACGTATAACCAAGCAAACTACTAGTGTAAGGGACTAGCATATTTGTTTGCTTCAGGAGTCGGACCTCCTGTTCAAGTTAGAAGTGACCAACAGAGGTGTAAAGAAAATAAAAATAAAAAGAGCCGTGTCCTTTTTAGTTTGTCAAAATAGTTTTAATATTTTTCATGAATATTGGGACAAACCAAACAGTCAAATAAACAAGTGTCGGAGGTCCTGAACAAAATTAAATAAAAAAAAATTAAATATGGATTCAACCAAATTACTTTTTTTTCGGCCATGCACAAGTCTAATGGTTTCTGAAGATAAAATGGAATGAGAAATCTCTTGTGAGAAGGGGGTGATGACCTCATTTTTATTCAGCAGCAATCAAAATAGGATACCCACTTTCCTGCCCAATCATAGATGGTTTATGGAAGAGACATTTGCCAATGGGAACAGCTGTGCAGGGAGTGGTATATGGCACAAACTGCTGTGCCCATGCCAAGCTTTGCTAGAAAAGCCATAACTGAAGCACACTCCCAAGACTGAGCAATATGTACACAGTGAGTAACCAAATAACCCTATCTGAATAGCTCAGCAGAATGGGTTTTTGGCAGCAATCATGATTTCTTTCCATTAAATCTTGGACTGACTTCCTAAAACTGAATATATTGAACACATAATAGGTGTTTTACAGCTCAGGCTTCACACATTAAATGATTTGACCAACACAATGTGCAAGAACCGTAGCATAGTCAAAACAGTAGCTGTTACCCTGCCAGGCTCCACCAACAGTAAGTGGACACACTCCTGCTAGGACTAGGACAATTTGACAAAACAACAATGCACAGGGGGAAAAATGAGATGGGGGTGGAGGCGTAAGAACTATTTTTAGTTTTAATAAATAAAATACTGCCAATAAGTAGAAAATTATGGAGAAGAATTCTTACAGGAGGATACCCTAAAACGGCTTGTAAAACATCTCTTCTTGTTTTTAAGATTTGAAGCAACAAAGTCTAGGTTAAAACACAAATGTTGGATAAAGGGAAAAACCAACCAAAAAATAAATACAAACACCACTACTTTTTGATGTAGTTATTTTGGTGCATAGATTCTATCATCTTACAATGCAGAATACTGTCGTTTCTGTCAAATGGTAATGTTTACATTTCTCCAAAATCATGCTCCTATATATCCTTCCATGTCTGAGAAGTATTAACTGTGCTCAATGTCATCATGCTGTGCAGGATGATCCTTCAGAGAATGGTCAGTGTGTCCTTGCATTTCTCTATCAGAACTATGTGATTAGACAATAGTCATGATTGAAGACTTCAGAGTAGTGCATTTCTTGTTGTGGTTTTGGTTTTTAAATTGGTATATGCCTTTAATAAAGGATTGACCAGTTATCAGTTTGGGAGATTAAAAAAAAAAAAAAAAATATATATATATATATATATATATATATATATATATATATATATATATATATATATATATATTTTTTTTTTTTTTTTTTTTAATACAATGCTAAACAAAAATCTGCACATCAGTCAAGCCATAAGACTTGCTTTTCCCACAGAAATCCCAAATCAGCAGTGATGTTACAACCGCAAAGGATTCTGGGTGGGCATATGCAAATTAGTTTAACAAAGAATCACATTTTTGCCTCATTCCATTTTAAACATGGATTCCTTTTAATTTGTGTTTGCAGTATACAACTGCTTGGAACACAATTTAGGATAAGATGCAAAACCAGTGAACCACTCATGGACAGCTGTTTCGTTGTTAATGCAACTCTTCAGCATGAGGTTGGTTACTGGTTTGCTTATGGAGGCTTGGTAGTGCTTGTGAAGCAAGAGGGGTTTTAATCACAATTTTTCCCCACCATAATCTATTTGGATCTTGCTTCACAAGCACTACCAAGCCTCCATAAGCAAACCAGTAACCAACCTCATGCTGAAGAGTTGCATTAACAACGAAACAGCTGTCCATGAGTGGTTCACTGGTTTTGCATCTTATCCTAAATCCTAAACTGCAGAGTGTTGCTGAAGGGACAGTCAAAAGGTTCCAATTTTTTCAAACTGCTCCAAAACTAGCTTGACATTAAAGGATCACAATAGGGTCAGGAACACAAACATGTATTCCTGACCCTATAGTGCTAAACCCACCATATGGGTGGCTTCCCCCCCCAGCCCCCTGTTAAAAGTTTAAAACAGGGGTTCTCAACCCAGTCCTCAGGACCCCCTACCAGTCCAGGATTTGGGGATTACCTGGGTGTGTCTCAGGTGTTTAGAAAGAGGGGAAAAAAACCACCTTAGACTCTAATGTGTTTTTTTTCTAAACACCTTAGACACACCCAGGTAATCCCTAAACCCTGGACTGGTAGGGGGTCCTGAGGACTAACGTTGAGAACCCCTGGTTTAAAACTCACCTTATTTCCAGCAAAGTGCGGGTCCGCCGGCGCTGGCTGATTTTTAGCCAATCCAATGGGAAAGCATTGGATTGGCTAAAATCAGCACGGGTCGGGGGCAAATCAGGACCTCCTCATAGAGATGCATTGAATCAAGGAGTGGCCACTTGGAGGTGTCCCTAGGGGCAATGTAAACATTGCCTTTTCTTGGACCGTCCAACATCCCCCTGTTAGTACGGTACATCACTCGCAGAAAATTGGTACCAGCTATTAGTCCAAAAAGCCACCAATCATTGGTATAAGCCCTAAAAAAAAAAAAACAAACAAACAAACAAACAAAAAAAACACAAAAAAAAACAACACAACTAAAAGTGATATGTTTATAGGACTGATATCCATAACTGACAAACTGCTACTTTTCCATCTTCAAAGACTAGTTTACATTCTGTGTTCTACAATATCAACTTTTTTTTTTTTTACTTTCATTTAATGTTCTACACAAACTGTTGACAGTACATTCAAAAACCAACAGACAGAATCCAACTGTAATGTCACTTAGCAAGACAAAATATCTTTTTAAAAAGGATGGTAAAACCAACGGACCCGGAAAAGAAATATACTTGGCACATGGATCTGAGATACCATGTCAATAAGCAATTATTAACCATTTAAAATGGTTTGGGCATCTTTCAGACCCCACGAGAGATCTAGAAATACAGTTCCCCTCTCCTGGCTTTGAAATTCACAAGCGCTCTAACTGCAATTGTTCAAGATTGGGGTTGTACAAAACACCCTGCCAACGAGAGCGGTGGAAGTGTAATTCAATGATCTAAGTAGCAACGTTCTAAAATGTACTAGTAAGATACAAACAATAGAACTCCGGGGACAATTAATGAATGTCATACAACACCAATGCAATATGGTTAACAATTAAAGTGTATATTTGCTATGTCTGTTAGAAATATCAACCCTAAAAACATGTTCAAATTGATTATATGTAATCACATCCATCAATCTGAACCACATGATGTCATTACAATAACGTAAAACACAACCAATCACTTGGGAATTTTGTTAATCCTCTCTTGTGCCAAGTAATAACAGTGCAATCATTAGATTACAATAGAGCTATAAAAGCTGGCCGGTGTGTATAATTACATATTCACAAGTAAAGAGGATTGAAACTATTAAGATAGCTCTTTCTATAACCGTGCACTTTGCAAAGCACATATTACGGGAAGCAACTTTTAAGATGAATTTCAGTCCAATTTTTAATGTCCATAGCACATGAATTATTAATAATTCCATTACCAACATATATTGCAGATGTAGCAAAGCATTTTCTACAGTTAACAAGACATATGAGCTTATGGTACACTATTTGGGAAACGTAGGTCATAAATTATAAACTAATTTATAGAACTTGCAGTCTCTTGGGTTTACCCAAACTAGCAGCTGATAGATCGGTTTTAATATTAACCCATACAGATGTATTTATTTTTTTTGAAGGCAGAAAAGCTAAATTGAACAGTTGTCCAAGTACACACGCTGGCAAATTCCTAGCAGCTGACTAACACAACAAACCAGTTTTGGAGTTATTTGTGCCCTCAGCCTATGAAGGCTGTCCAGGTTGGATGGAATCATAGATGATCATGCAGAGTGTTGCTGAAGGAACAGTCAAAAGGTTCCAATTTTTCAAACTGCTCCAAAACTAGCTTGACATTAAAGGATCACAATAGGGTCAGGAACACAAACATGTATTCCTGACCCTATAGTGCTAAACCCACCATATGGGTGGCTTCCCCCCCAGCCCCCTGTTAAAAGTTTAAAACAGGGGTTCTCAACCCAGTCCTCAGGACCCCCTACCAGTCCAGGATTTGGGGATTACCTGGGTGTGTCTCAGGTGTTTAGAAAGAGGGGGAAAAAACCACCTTAGACTCTAATGTGTTTTTTTTTCTAAACACCTTAGACACACCCAGGTAATCCCTAAACCCTGGACTGGTAGGGGGTCCTGAGGACTAACGTTGAGAACCCCTGGTTTAAAACTCACCTTATTTCCAGCAAAGTGCGGGTCCGCCGGCGCTGGCTGATTTTTAGCCAATCCAATGGGAAAGCATTGGATTGGCTAAAATCAGCACGGGTCGGGGGCAAATCAGGACCTCCTCATAGAGATGCATTGAATCAAGGAGTGGCCACTTGGAGGTGTCCCTAGGGGCAATGTAAACATTGCCTTTTCTAGGAAAAGGCAGTGTTTACATTAAAATGCCTGAAAGGAGCTATTATACTCACCAGAACAACTACATTAAGTTGTAGTTGTTCTGGTGACCATAGTGTCCCTTTAACCAAGAATATGATCCTCAGACTCAGCCTTATAATCTCTACAGCGAGCCATTATTGTGGTGATTTAAATAAATAAAATAAATGGTGAAGTAAGCTTCAAAAAGACATAAAAAGTATTAGAAATCAAATAAAGCAGAGGAAGTTAATAAAGAACCATTCTCCAAATGTCGCTTCATACATAGCTCCCTGAAATGAAGCTACCTTATTTCAAAAAAAAGAAAGTTTGTGTCAATCTAAAACACAAGCAGGAGAGCTGTATTCTTGTGGTTTGTGAATGGCTGCAGACATGTTTACATTTAGAAGGGGGAAAAATAAAGAAATAAAAAGAATTCAGTGTTGTGTACATAGCGTTATAGTAACTAGCCTTGCCTTGTGATGTAAAGCAAACACGTCATGCTAGCTTTCTGAGTTTCATAAAAGGAAGTGACAATAAACCATCTTTAAAAAAACAATATGCATTTGATGTGAGAACAAAGTTCATAGCAAAGAGGAAGTTCTATGTGAACGTTGCAAAATGTTACACCAATTGCTAAAATAAGCGACTTAAAGTTTTTAAAATGAAGAGTGGGAGTTATTTATAAGTTGGTACAATCACCACGGAAAGCAATGGAAGGCTCCAGCAGGCCTACATGCTCCCACTGCATGGTGTGGTGGAGATTGTGAAATAAAGACTCGTCGGAACAAAGACACGGTCTGATTTTATGGACAAAGGCCTCAGGGTGCTTTAAGAAGATGAATACGGATCATCAGCAAATGTTCCTTTTATACATCCTGGTCAACACATTAATAACTGGGTAGGGAAAAGCTGAATTTACTTTGCAGACAATTCTACAAGTTTTACCAGGTACATTTGGAGAGCCGTTCTCACTGACCGTACATATAAAAATAATGTTTTGAATGAAATGGAGCAATCACTATGGAAACCAGCAGCATTTCTCTGGTGATTGCTCTACTTTTAGAACTGCCTGAAACTACTCATACATAAGTTGCTATAGAAAGGACAGGACCAGGAATGCCAAGTGATTTTTAATTCTACACAGGTAAACAAGAACCACATTCAAAGACATTGAAACTGTATGTTAATTGTCAGGGCTTTTGTATTACACTGGGATTTGTCCAGGCATGTTTCACCCAATACAAGTGAGTGTGTTTATCAATCCATAATTTAGATTGTATAAACAGGGCTCAAAAAAGCCAATTTCCTTTAAGCCTAATGAGAGCAGAAATTCACCCCTTCACATTGCCGCTTCACACAACCTTTCATAACGAAGCAGGTTGCCCTACTTGTGCAATCAAACTGTAAAACCCTGATAAATAGTGAAAAACCAAATACAACTAGCAAAGAGAAGAGTTTCCTTGTAATTTGATACTTAGCGAGGTCCAAGCACACAAAGTGCCATCTCATCTCTCAGTGGTGTTTTAAAGGATCACTATAGGGTCAAGAACACAAACATGTATTCCTGACCCTATAGTGTTAGAACCACCATCTAGCCCCCCTGGGCCCCTCATACCTCCATAAATATAGAAAAATCTTACTGTATTCAAGCCAGAAGCTGTAGATCTGCATGCTGTTTGCCTCAGAAGAAAAAAAGCTGTCTGCTGACATCATCAGAAGTGGTAGCCTGATCCAATCACAATGCTTCCCCATAGGATTGACTGAGACTGACAAGGAGGCAGATCAGGGGATAGAGACAGCACAATTCAAACACAGCCCTGGCCAATCAGCATCTCCTCATAGAGATGAATTGAATCAATTAATTTCTATGAGGAAAAGTTTAGTGTCTGCATGCAGATGGAGGAGACACGGAATGTTTGGATGCATTTTAGGCAGCCATGACCCAGGAAGGATCTCTAACAGCCATCTGAGGAGTGGCCAATGAAGTTATCACTAGGCTGTAATGCAAACCCTGCATTTTCTATGAAAAGACAGTGTTTACAGCAAAAAGCCTGAAGGTAATGATTCTACTCACTAGAACAAATTCAATAAGCTGTAGTTGTTTTGGTGACTATAGTGTCCCTTTAATAAGTGGCACTCATCTGAATGCAACGCTTACTGACGACAGTACATATTAAACTTCCTTTACAAATTCCGCCTCAGGGACATCAAAATTTGTTTCATAGTAGGCTCTTAATTCTTATGACATAACCATTTATTATCAGTAACTAGCACCATGATAAAAAAAACAAAAAAACAAAGAACCCATTTAGAAACCATTTCTTTACTTCATTCATACATGTTAATTAGCTCTGCTTTCACAATGTATAGTTTTATTCACGGAATTCATATCGTAAATACAGCTTGGGTGGCAGTTTATATAAGTGGAACGATTTTCTGGAGTGGTGGGTAAAGGGACCAAGGACAAATCTCTAAATAAACCAACTGATAATTTGCACTGGTTAAAAAAAAAAAAAAAAAAAGGTATTAAAATCCCTAGCGCGCAGCCTAGCACCCCACCGACACCAGAGAGACGCCCAGCACTCCACCGACACTGGAGAGACCTCATACAGATCCTGGGAGATATCTTGTTTTGAGAACAGGCCAAATCTAGCACCGGTTATTTGTATCATCTCACAAGGAGTTGCCTTCATATGAACTTAGACAAACAGCTTTAACTACAACAGGACCTGCACCTACGGAAATATTGGTGAGATCCACCCAAATATCATAGTGTGTACACACTGGGACTGTAAATACATTATTTTTTCACTGTTATTATGGTTTTCATTTTTTTCTTTTTCCTTATATAGTTTTTTTTCAAGAAATCTTCCAGATAACAACCTGGGCTCTCAAATATATAGTGCAGTTAAGCACTATCACCACTAATTAAGTCGGACTCTGTAGGGGTTGATTTATTCACGTATGGTGTATTATTGGTTGTAATAGGATAGATTATATGCAGAAAGCCAATTGTTGAAGCATTTTTTTTCCCGTATACATCAAATTAAAAATATCATTTTTGAAAAAACTAATAGTTTATTAAATAGCAGAACTACTTATATCAAATCAGTTGAGTGCGGTATCATATGTTTTTGTGTGAACATATGTTTTAGTTGCAACAAGAAGTAGTAGTGGAGTATTAGAAAGGAACTTCCACCTCTAAGTTTGTGTCAGTTTCCTTTTATTCATCCCGGTGATCGCTAATGAAGTATGCATTGGGGTGAGGCACCCCTGTAGCACTTCTGCATGATCAGTGCCACTATGTTCTTGGGATGTTCTGTGTATGTAGGTTAGTGGCAATGCCAGTTATTGGAGCAACAAGAGGGCCTGTGTTTGTATTTTATCATGCGAGTGTTCTGGTGTTCATTACGGATGTCTTATGACTAGTTATATAAAAACAAACAAACCAACAGGATTACAGTAAGAAAACTAAAATAAGTTGTGCTTTTGAAAGATGATCTTGGAGCAGATTTCGGCATATAGATTTAAAAAGGAGATAGTCTGGCCCTGGCCGCAACACACGGCAGCGGGCACCTAGTTGCAGGGGTACGCAGGGCCCCCTGGAGTGACTGTCACAGCTGTGACCCCTGCAGTTCCGACACTTACAACAGGGTCAGGAACACAAACATGTATTCCTGACCCTATAGTGTTAAAAACACTATCTAGCCCACCTGGCCCCCCTAAATATAGTAAACTCTTGCCTTTATTCCAGTCTGCTGCTGCTGGCTCTGACACTAATCTGCCTGTTTGGTGATTATCTCTTTCTCATAGGAAAGTATTGTATTGGCTGAGATTGTCAGTTCTGATTTTCTCAGCCAAGGAGGCAGGCCGGGGCGGAGCCAAACAACGCTATAGCCAATCATCATCTCCTCATGTAGATGAATTGAATCAATGCATCTCTATGAGGAAAGTTCAGTGACTCCATGCAGATGGTGTAGACACTGAATGGCAGTGCTGCACACTGAAGCACCTCTAGTAGCAAACAGTGGAGTGGCCAGTGGAGGTATCCCTAGGCTGTAATGTAAACATTGCATTTTCTCAAAAAAAATAAAATAAAAATAAATAAATAAACTGTGGCTTACAGGAAATATTTGAAGATTTGTTAAGGACATGCCACCCTTTGTGAGGCCTACTCCTTTGGCTAACTTAAAATCCTGCACGTGTACCTTACACCAGAGGATACAAGAACTACATATTATTTTCTTACCCTTCTTGGACCGAATGATGCGTTGAACTCATCTCCGATCCGACGAAGCTCGTGGGCAATCCAGATTTCTGGACTCATGTTGTGAGGCTCAATGGGATATCTGGCAGCTGCTAGACAGAAAAAAAATAAAAAATAAAAAGGGTCAGTATTCTTAGACCTTTCTAAACAAACCAAAAGTAAATTTCTTCTTAAACCTGAACACTCTAATACCCAAACCACTATTGTTTAACACTAATCTTGCGGTGCCGTGTGCACGTGGAGCTTCCAGAGAGTTATTTTAGAATCGTGCTCAGATAATGGATCTTAAAACAAAAAGGATATGTCAAATCACCAAAATAAGGGTCTATTTGTACTCCATCAGAAAAAGTGCATATATTGAAAACACAGTGAATGGACTGGGGAGTAGGATGTTATGGGGGAAGGAGTCCTAGACAGTGGCAGGAGTGTAAGATGTCATTTTATTTTTCTGGAGATTGAGGAAGCAGCTTAAAAATTATGGGAAAGCAATTAAAACAAAGGGATAGAGCCTCCACTGAACCAATAGGAAACTCACGGCAACAGAAAAAATTAAAAAAAATAATAAAGAGTGAGTATTAAGAATGACTAGTCAGACGAAAAGCCAGATCCTGGGCAATGAAGGGGGAGAAAAATAAACCACGCTAAAGTGCAAAAAAAGGCCAAAGCTAGAGACAGATCCTTTTTATAAAAAAAATATAAGGAGAGAACATTACATTTACATTTCGTGGATGTCAGTTTGCTGCATCTTTCATTCAAGAGTAGTTTGAAGTGGAAATTATTTAAGTAAGATTGATGTTAAAGAAACAGATTTTAATTTTTTATTTTTTTTTAAATAAAGAGTAGAATATAAATATGAATGAGGCCAAACAGTAACTAGGGTCTGAATTGATTTATTTATAGCTGCACTATTATATCAATAACAAGCACACGTGATTCTTTAAGGAGTCCAGAAATACTGTGATAAGAGCAATATTTAAATCTTTCCAATAAAATGCTCTCTCTCTTGTTAAAGGTTGATGACATGTTGCCACTTGAGGAAAATCCAAACCATGCGTAGCTCAGAGGTTCCTTTTATTACAAACAGAGGCAAAGGCCACAGATAATTGGCCGAAGCCCTCGTCTGATGTCCTAAAGGACCTGATCAAACCAGCGGCCGGGGTTAAATCAGGCACAAATTTCATGTGACTCTTAGCTGCTGGCAAGAGAGATTCATTCAGCTAAAGTTTTGTGATGAATAGTGGAAACATTTTGAAAGTTGAGAAATGAGAAAGCAATTCAAAAAAAAAAAAAGGGGGGGGTAAGGGGTTACATGAATATAAAAAAATAAAAAAAAATAAAAAGCACAGCGAAACTCTTCTCTCTCAATACCCTATACTGCAACTGGTTCTGCATCTGAGCACAAGCAGAACGTGAAAAGCCATTGATCATTCACATGCAGGAGTAGGTAGTAATCTCCCCACTGCTACAATACTCACTTCAGGTTATGAACGTGCAGTAATTCAGGAAATTAATGTCGTGGTTAAGTGGTTGATAGTGAAAATCAATCTGAGGCTTTCGGAAAGGACTTTCTGTGATGCTACCAGCGAGTGCAAAGGCAAAGCAAGTCAGGCAGAGATCAAAGGATGTCTTCCGTAAAAAAACTAAATAAAACTATATAATTTATTTATTACTTTGCTTTGGGGTGAGAGGGAGGGGACAGTACACATTAAGGTTTGTGAAATTGCTGCAAATCCCTAGGTTCTACAGCAACCTCTGACCAAACCAAGAAGTGACTGAAAACTCTCAGCCCAAATTGCAAGGATTTGTAGGATCCATCACCCAGCTTTTGGCATAGACAGCTGAATTAGCTTACATTCATTAAATAAAATTACAAACACACACACACATCTTGCGTATGGCTTTGTTTAATATATGGTGCTAACTGCATGAAAGCATGCGCACAGCATCAACTATTTAAGCTCCCGTGTAGAAAACTATGAGACGGTCCAAACAGAATGAATAGTATAAACATGTGATTTACTATTACACTAAAAAAACGAATAAAGCAGCACCATCTTGAAGTAGATTATGTATTTTTATTACAATTAAACAAAACTAAATTATAAAAAAAAAAAAAAACAGCAATTTGAAATATAAACTGATCATTCACACATGGATATAATTCATATGTACCTTTGGCACCAAACTTAATTGTGGTAAAGAATTAACCGTAAAAATGTGTTTGTTCTTTCACAGAAAAATTTACAAAAATAAAACGACATACACACAAGCACGTACTACCCACTCCGCAGTCTCCTCTCACAGCCAAGCTAAGAGCTTGCAAGGAAATTTAAGTAAGAGTATCTAAATACATTTCCTTGGCATGGGCGAGTAATCAGATCTGTGTAGGTTTTCTCTTCTTATTGCACGTGTGCGTGACAAGCCCGGGCAGTTACACAAAGTAAGGGACCTTGCTCTGAAACAGCTGCTGGAAAATGAACACTGCCAGCAATAAATCTTGTTGAGGAGCTGCCAGCAGCTGGATTGCCCCATTCCCCCTCCTTGACTCAAAACAAGTGCACTGCTCTCCATTTCATAGCACAAGTGCCACTAAAAAGGCCAATAGCACAGTGGATTCATGTAAAGTGGACAGTATGCTTCAATGATCCCCAACCTGTTAGTTCTCATTAACATTCCATTAGTATTGCAATGGGTGCCAGCAAGAGTAAGACCGTATGAATATTTTATAATTCTATCTCTCGGTCTCTCCCTGTGTCTAGATTTCTATATATTTTACATGCAAGACAGAATAGGACACTCAGTACCTTCAGGAACACTTATACTGTACATATTAATCAAATTCATATTTAGGAAGTGTTGGGACTTTTCAGTCTCCAGGATTTGATTCAGCTTGTCCGATAGGGTGCATTAGTTCGGCACAGCCCAACAACCCTATCACTGTGATTGGCCACAATGTTCAAGAAATCAGGAAGCAAGGAAGTAAAATAGATTTATTTTTTTTCTAATTCTCTCTGGTGTCTGGCCAAATTAGATTTGTATTTCTTTTGCTTGGACTGTCCCTTTAACATGTTTCACACCAACATGCTAATAACGTGCATCCAATTTCTTTGCAATTTAGCCACATCTCTCCTACACTGGTAGGATCTGGAAACATACATAGAGATATTTTTTTTTCCATATTTAATATATTTCCCCAAAGTTAGTGAGCATTTGATCAGTGTACAAGGGGAAGAGATGGGGAGGGGGAATATAAAATGGGGACCGGTGTCCTTTCTAAAAAGCTCCAAATACTTTAATTTTTTTTTTATTTTTTTTTAACAGAATCACAGACTTATGTCTTAGTGTAATAAGGGAGGAGGTCCTACATCTACAGTATATTGTATTGAAAATTGGCAAAATGTGGTTTTTTTGTTCAGGTAACCAAGCAGAGTCTGGCAATTGTCTGCTGAGAGGCATTCCAGACAGACCAAGACATTGCTCGACTCATGGATTGATGTGAAATTGCTAACGTTTACTTAAAGCGTTATTCCAGCCACAATGACCACTTCATTGATTAGTAGTGGTTATCATAGTAGGAATCTGGATGTGCAGCTTTTCTGTACATCCAGATATATACTAGCTTATGTGCCAGGGGCTAGTTACACCCCCAGCACATATGACTTTGTCAGTCCAGCAACTCTTGTTCTGGGCGGTCTAATGTCAATGATGTACATAAGTGCAGATGGTAATAACAGTCAGTGAAAAATTAGGGGTAATGCTCTGTATTCACTAACATGGATTATAGCTTAAATATATGGCTCAATGTTTGCACAATTGTGATTAAGGTTAAGGATACAGGTGAGATACTCAATTTAGCTTTTGTTCGTTTCAAAATTGGAAGGCTTTGCCAAACTGCATCATTTACACCAGGGTAAATTTATACTCACAAAGCCTAATTTTTTTATTTATTTTTTTACTCACCAATGGCTAGTTTAACTTTTGAGCCCTGGTAAATATATTATACACACACTTTAGAAAGTCAGATTACTATTTACCTAACAGAAAAACTAAAAAAATAAAATAAAAAATATCAATGAGGAGAGCAGTTTAGACAATTATGAAAGGCACAGAGCTGGCTCCGTTTATGTGGTACATAAAACCCATGAACAGCTCAATATACATCAGTAGAAATTTACGAGTTTAACCTATTCCTCCTGCTTAAAATGACCATACTGAGTCCAAGTTCACTTTACTGATAGAGGATCAGTCTGCAAGTTGAAATGGCTTGCCTACTAAAGCACTTGGAGCTGCATAGAGGAGATGGTTCAAATTCAGGGTTTAGCTATACAAATGTCAAAGGTACAGAAAAAAAAATCCATTCACTGATCAGAGTTGAACCCAAGGGCAACTAAAATGCCATAGGCTGGACCATTACATAAACAGAGCCAGGCATCTCTTCTTTTGCATAGATACCAACTATCCTTTTCAACTATTGAATACTACCAGGGAATTTCCCCTTTGTCAGAATCCATAATTTCATTACATAGTACACTCAATGTAAACCCATTTTCAAACCAGTAATCCAAGAAATGGTTCTGCTTAAATTAAAAACACTACTGGAAATCAAACATTCAAGAATGGTATCCAGATATCGAGCACTGAAAGAAACACTCCAGAAAGCATACGACCAGACTCACCTGGGTCTTTCAAAGCCAGCAATAAACCCATTCTCTAATGGATAGAAGATATATAGAAGATATTCCAACTAAAGAAACAAAACAAAAAACAAAAACAAAAAAACATACATACAATTGAAGTTTCCACATTTGATGCAGATACCCAGGATTTGTAGTTTCTACAGTGAGTGGTCAAAGATGTGTCTCGGCCAGACCTGGCACTCCCATATTTTTCACGGGGACTGATGAACATATCCAATAATTCCCTGCACAGTCAAGTTTATGGGAATGGAAGCAGTAATAATCTGAACTATAACTTCGCCAAAGTCCTGCTGTAGAGCAGTCATGGCTTAATTAGCTCTATTTGCACCAAAAGGGACACCATGCGTGGGCTAATGGAGCTTTTTTTAAATGACGATCTCAAGCTGGAAGTGACCTTTTGTTTTAATGCATTCAGATATAAAACATATACATAAACTTATCTTTAAATGCTTCTGCAATGGTCTCCTAGGCCGAAAAATCGGTTTAGCCAATCAGGAGGTTCGCTTCCTATTCAATAGAACCTTGGTAGCAGTTCCATTCGTCAAAGTATAAACAGAAATGATGCGTTTGCAGGTGACAGCGGCACTAGGGGTGCTGCACCATTCACACTTTGTTGACTGAAGTGGTCAGGCAGAATTGCCCATGCATGCAACTCAGCCACGATCCGTTAAGGAGTCTGTCAGGAACGGAGGAGATTTGTCTAGTGCAGTGGTTTCCAAACTAGTCCTCAAAAGGCACACCTACAGGTCCAGGATTTAGGGATTATCCAGTTGGGTCTAAAAAGGTTTTTTTCTTTTTCTTCTTCTAAAAACACCTTGGACACAACTGGGTAAATCCTGTACCGGAAGGGGTTTGGAAACCACTGGTCTAGTGAAAATTTGCCATACAAATATGGTAGGATAAAGAGATTAAAGGGTCACCAAAACGGGTGTATTTTAATGAAACAGTTTTGGTGTACAGAACATGCCCTTGTAGTCTCACTGCTCAATTCCCTGCCATTTAGGAGTTAATTCACTTTGTTTATAAAGCCCAGTCACACCTCCCTGCACGTGACTTGCACAGCCTTCCTAAACACTTCCCGTAAAGAGTAATCTAATGTTTACATTTACTTTATTGTAAATTATGTTAATTTTAGAATTTCATATCTCCTGCTCGTTTAATAGCTTTTTAGACCCTGCAGGAGCCTCCTGTATGTGATTAATGTTCAATTTACAGTAAAAGATATCTGATTAAAAATTAAACCATTTTGTCTTCATGGAGATTGTGTCAGACAGGGGAGTTGTAGCTCAGGCTGAATAGACAGAAGCAAAGTGATTAAACACCTAACTGGCAGAGAATTGAGCAGTGAAACGGCAGGGGCATAATCTATACACCAAAACTGCTTTAGTAAGCGAAAGTTATTTTGGTGACCATAGTATCCCTTTCAGCATAGTTTCTACATCCAACATAAGGCATTAAATAGATGCTTAGGGCAGTCTTGTCTTATATAGGTACAGTTAATTTAGTAAAACATTGCAATCATAATCCACTGTGTAAAGAGAGAGAGAGATTGATATTGGGAGATGGTGAAATGAGTTTATGTTATTGTGTTGGTTATATTATGAATAATTAAATGTAAATTAAGATTTTACAAAATAAAAAAATAAAAAAAATAATAAACACACCACATCCAGCATTACAATCAGTAACCTAACATATGGGGGTACCTGGTGCCCTTTACTAGGCATTCAGAATAGTAGGCTTTAAGTTTCTGTACGTCAAAAACAAACACATTCTAAAACTGGATTAAAAACATAGAACAGTGGTAAATAAAATCACCCTCACAAAATGGAATTTGGTCAAAAAGTTACCCATTTTTAGATGTAAAACTAAACATTACAAAAAATTCTAGTGTCTACAAATCAGTGAAAATGAGCTGCTCTGCTATATTGTGTGGGTCATGTTGCTTTTTTGGGTGGTGTCTTCCCGTGCTTCCTTTAAAAACACATTCAACCCTCCAATTTCTCCTCGTTTCTCTATGTTCTAACACACAAGAGAGCATCTGAGGCTGCCGTGGCCTCAGCCGCAATTATCGAAGGCCTCAAATAATATTTTTACAGGTTACAGTCTTCAAGACAGGGTTACAAGAATATACTCCAGTTTAACAGGAACGTGCAAATCATTTTTACTTTGTATTTTTAGATTTTCTTTTCTGGCTAGGTATGGTTTTAGGTGAGCGAGTTAAATATAGTTTGTGGAGAGGAAATAAAATAAACTATTGAGGAATTACACTCGCTTAAGCATAAAATTCTTTATTTTTTTTTTATTTTTTTTTTAAAGGTTTATGTAGGCATTCTCTAAGGAGGTTGTAAAAAAAAAAAATAAAAATATAAAAGTTAGAGAGCACATAGCCAAAACAACTTATTCTGTGATACAGACACACACAGGTCATGATGGGGTAACACAAACACACAGAATAGGGAAGCCACTAGTATAAAGTAACAGAAAGAGCAAAATACATCCACCGGACGTTCGTGTGTACAAGATATGCGAAAATACAGTGTCAGAAAGTAACGATTCCAGAAATACACAGAATACAATTAAACAAGCCAGTGTCGTGGGTACTAGAAAAGCCAAATAGTCTATACGAAGAAGAGTTAGTAAGAAGAACACCAATATGTCAGAGAGCACTCTTAGACAATAGAAACCACAACAGGGCAAAGATCCCACAGAAGAGGGAAGTATAGAATATTGGGTGTTGTATATATTTAATACAATGTTAAACAAGGATCTGCACACCAGTTCAGCCATAAGACTTTACCCCACAAAACAATGACATGACAAACTAGAAACAGACTTAGTATTCCAGGGTTCTAACTCCTGTAGTCGGCGTGATATGACCATGAAAACTCTGCAAACCCATGAGACCAATGACGTGCATCATGTCCTGTACTTGGAGCCTCCAAATTGGATGTTACAAAGTGTGCCATGCTCAACATGACAGAGGCGGCACGGAATCCTCAAATTTAAGGCTGATGCGCGTATTCTAACACAAGATAATATGATTTGTATCAAGTCTTATCCAACTCACGCAACATGGCCAGTACTGGAGTATTACTTGACATTAAATTGTCAAGTCTATGCAAATTAATTCTAGATGGCATGGGAAGCTTGAGTGACTGGAAGAAAAACTAGCAATATTCACAGAGGGAGAATCTGCAGAGTGACAGCCCTATAACCAAATTAACAATTTGTAAATGTAAATCTACCATTTTAGTACCTTTCTTTTCCCCCTCAACAGTCTTTTAGCCAAGTCGACTCCATTTACCCGATAAAGTGACTATTTTCAGGCCGTAACATAGCACAGCCTCACGTTTCACATTTTCTGAAGTAATAAAATGAATTCCTTTCACAATAGGTTTGTTATTGTATGTGAGACCATTCACAGATAACAGGGCAAAAAGGATGTCTATCAAATAAAACATGTATCTATGTTAATAAAATATATTAGTGGGTGTAGCGGATGGCACTGGGCTGTCCTGAGAATTGCATAGGTTTTAACTGCATTCGTCTAAATGGCAGGTTATATGTGTATAAATGTATTGTATTCGTCTGATTGTTCTGTAGAATCATTCTAACAAATAAGGGAATGAAACTACCGACTAGGCAAACACCGCTGAGACCTCCACAAGACCAGTCCGTTCGGTTCCAAACTACCGAACGGCCCCTCGTTCGGTAGACAGAAACAACCGAACGAGGGGATTCAGGCGAACCCTCCCTAGTCTCTGTAACTGGAGGCTTTTGTGCAATTTGTTCCCTTTTTCCAGGACCGACCACAGGGCCCCATCGCATGGAACCCAATTCGGCTATTCTCTTCAGCGCGGTCGGTCATTTTATTCCCTCCATAAATTTCCTGAACCCCTGGTCTAATCTGGGTGATTTTTGGATATGTTGTTCACCCAGATCAGGGCTACCAGGGGATGTATCATTTAAAGCGGTACCCCTAGGTTTAGGGGTACATCCAGAAACGGGGGGGAATTGGTGTCCTGGATAAGGGGATTATGATGCAGGCTGAGGGGAGGAGATGTGTGGGAGGTTACCAGAAAAGGATTGGCTACTGTACTAATGAATGGAAATCCCTCCCTTGCATGGGAGCATGCTTTATAAAGCCACTGTGTGAATAAATCTTTAGTTCTGCTCCTGATACTGTGTGTCGTCCAGTTATTGGGAGTGCTGTTGGGATACTGCTGTATTAATTTGCCTGCTGGATACTTTGCCCTATGGATTTATAATTGCTTGTTCCTGAGCCTCACTGGGATCTAAAGTGGAGATAGGCTATGAAATATTAGCTCTCCGCTACAGTGGGTTGTAGATGCATTCTGGCACTTCAAAGAGGGCACTCCAAGCTCTGTAAGAACTTGCAAACTTGTCCTGGAATCTTAATGAAGTTGTCTGGGTCCTATGCCCTGCTCATTTTAACCCATCAGTTGTAAAATATTTTTCATTGCAGGGATAACCTGCCTTCTGAGGCACTCATCCTGAAACTTGGCTATTTTAAACAGATGGTCTCATAGTCCATTTGATTGGCACAGCAAGGTTTCTCAATGACATCGAGCAGGACGCTATGGCATTAGAAAAACTGGCTTGTATTTCTAATATAGTGTTCCTTTAAGCACAGGGATATATTCAAAAATAAGTGCTTAAAATTTCCATTTGCCCCCAACCTATGGTCAGAAGTAATTCAGCCCTGGTGACTGTGCCATAGACTCGCCAGATTTGCAATGTCAAGTATTTAAGACTTTACTAGTAGTGAAGGACTTGATATTATAAGCCCAGAATAAACCATACTGCATAGACCAAATAAGTCAGTTATGGTGCATGCCAACCCACTTATTTATGGGGGTTCCCACAGTTTTATGCGACCGTGCTACTCACATTCTGTGCCATCTATTGCTCTAGTCATGACAATAAGGATGTAATCACTGGCATTCTGGTTTTCTAATTATGGGAACTTAATTACATTACGGTTACATTTTCTATAATATGTTCCTGGGCTTGGCAGTAGAACATGCTCAGCATGCGGTCATAAAACATCGTGGAATGACTGACAGGTCATGGGCATAACAAGAGGCTGCAAAACAATAGGGTTTTTGGTTTTGGTTTATTTAATTGCAGTAGCCTAAAACTATCCCCTTTAACAAATCCCTCGGCATTCAGAATCCAAGTATCTGTATCTGTTTGTGCAAATCACAAGTTTGCTTTAGGGCAACTTTTTAAAAGAGACAGTGATGTCCAGGGGCAAGTATTCTACAAGTAAACATTTCGTGACACCTCAAGAAATGTGTGGCACCTCACCAACAATGCTGAGAATGGTTTTGCAACTTAGACATTTATAAGTATACACCTTTTTGTATCTCCGTCAAGTAACAAAGTAGCAAATTACTTTAATAAACTGTGTATTATTCTTGAAATATCAAGCTTCTTCAAACACCCATTTTGTTAACACTTTTGCTACCCTTTTTACGGTGTATTGAAATTGTTCAGCAAACAAAAGCTACAAATCTAATCAGTCTGTACACTAGATAAGTTATGAACTTTTAATAAAGCCAACATGACACAATCTTGGCACCCAAACCTTGTAACAGCTCAACAGAGATAATCAGAAATGAACTCGACTGCTAAAGTAAAACAGGGACGACTATGAAGGTCAGAGATGCAGACACAAAACTTTAAAATACAAGCTTTATAATAAGTTACAATGGTCCCTAAGGGACCAAACCTAAACCCCCATACTTTACTAACATTGGTGCTGATAACAGCATTTAAAAAAAAAATTAGTTTTTTTTAAAAGCGAATCTGTAACCTGGGATTTCTGCATATTTTGAGGAGACCACTAAATCCTCCTCTTCAAGTGAGGTGGCCCTGAGATGCAGGGGATGGGAGTTTTTACTTACCTGAACCTGTCCATCATTGGCTATGACCATCTTCTTTCTCGAGGTCCTCTATAGCTTCTGGTGCCACATCTATCGGCGGCGGACATCAGCACAAGCACAAGTGAAGGGTGCAATACTGATGTCAATGGAGTATCTCACAAGAGCCTCCATTAGAATTACTGAGGGCTTGACAATGTTTGACAGAAGTAGCTCTGCCTTTTGTCAAGCATATAAAGAGTGCATACGAGTTGGCACTTCAGTAAATTTCCAAAACAGTGTTTAGGGCATTATAAAGATTGTATCTTGTGATATTTTTAAGCAAGCTATACCTTTAAGCCTCCTGCCAACATCTCGATTGATATTTTTAAAACTGGACATTTATACAATGTGAACCAACCAAAGGAATGCACTTTTTAAGCCTTAATAGCCAAGCTGGAAGAATAAGGGCTGGAGAATTGTTCTCTTCTGTGTTTATCTAAAATTAGCCATTTACACACATACAAGCCTGTCATGCCCCATTTAGGTTGCAGGGAAATAATTTACCATAAAATCTAAATAACGCGGCAGATTTTAAAGGAGGGGGTCAGACATGGGGTGCTATTAATTCTTTTATTGACCTTATCCCCTTAATGACACATGACGGAAATATTCCATCATGATTCCCTTTAACTACAGAAATTGTGTCCTTAAGGGGTTAAAATACCAACAAAATGCCCCTAGTGCACGGATTTATTTTGAAGTCAGGGTGTTTTAGAATAAGGTCACAACTACAGTTGTGCTTATTGCTTAGAGGGAGTTAGAGCTGGATTAGAGGGAGTCCTATCCTTTAGGGCATTGGTCTCAAAGTACAATCCCCCACAGCTACTTACCTCAGTATGGCTCTCCGTGTCCTGAATTGCTAGTGGTATGTTCCACTTTATGGCCGCGATTGTGCCTTTGTTTGTTTCATTAGTAAAGTTCCGGCATTTGGCAGGTGTACGCCAGAACTTCAGTGATGAGACAGTGCAGGGTAGAAGTGTATGTAGGTTTGCATACCCACAAGTGTGTGTGTGTGTGTGTGTGTTTATAGGAGTAGAGATTTGTGGGTATGCAAACACCTCTGACAGCACAGATCTGAAGCCCCCTGGGAGATAAAAGTAAAGGGCTAGACTAGTGGCCCCCAGGCAAATTGACTGCTATAGGAGTTAGAGATTTATATTTTATTTTAATTTTTTTAAACTACACAAAGTATGTTATAAACAAAGGGACCAAGGAGCTCTCCTACATCTGTATGTCAGGGTGTGAATGAAGCACATCTCAAAGCAGCACAGACAGGTGATTAGCCAATGTTAACAACATGCATGCTGCTCTGGGTTTCTCGGAGAGCCCCCAATGAATGTACCCGTATGTCAACGAGTGAGACAGCAGAGCAGGAGCCTGGGGTGAAAGCAGGAAGTGCTGAAGAGGTGTCTGCCCTCTCCTTCAGTTCACTCTGAACACAGACTGTGTAAGTTTTAAAACCAAAGACTGCCTTTGTTTACATTGCTTCTCTTTTGTCAAGTAAGCAGTTTATCGAACTGGGAAAACAATGAGCACGCTTTTCCTTAAAGTTACCAAGCTGTAGCACCTCCCACAGCCTCGCAGTTATTCCCACTGGTCACAGAGTTCTATTTTTATCTTCACTTTTACCAGTTTTAACACACACACTTCTCCTCCTCCTCCACCTCCCCTCCTCCACCAGTACAATAAAAAAAAAATTTAAAAAAAATTCAACGGTTTACACCAACAAATCCTAGATTGCCAATTTCAGGATATTACAAAATATAGTTTGACAAGTGGACTTATTTGGGGAGTGGGAGCAGGGAGAGAGGGTTAGGATCTATGATCACAAGCTAAAGTTCTGAACATTTTGTTTCTCAAACTGAAATCAATATTTAAGCTCGCTCTATCAAGTACAACAGTATCAAACCATGAGCTGGCCCACTAGACAGAGTATATCAAACAAACAGAGCAAAAAGATAATGCAGTACAGTTACACGCACATAAGACATGGTCCAGAGGGCTTGATAACTGAGAAGACTCAATTAGAATAGAAAGGGGTACGAAGTTTGTTGGCCAATATTCATTCCTGGTCTAAGGCATACAATGTGAAGCAGTTATTTGGTAAACCCTTCATTAAGATTAATGGTAGACATAGCACTATTGTGTTTAAGAGGGTAAAAATACACTGAGTCACAAGGCCTAAAATCAGTAAACATTCACCCAGCCGGTTGCGCAATAGAATGAAAAGGTACAAATTTGTAATGTTCTGCCAGAGGCATTTGGTCGGGGCACATTACTGAGCAATGCACAGCTGCAGACACAACTCCTGTCTGTAACAAATAAGGTTATCAACGTTTAATGGAAGGCACCCAAGGCCGTAAATTTGTATTATTTACCATGACTTTAAGGAGACAAACGGTACAGACTGCCAGAGCACAATACCAGTGATTATATACAGCAATCAGGACAAAAAAATATTTCACCGATTCACCGCATTAGGAGGGACTTTTAATTGTTTGTTCAATTAAAGCTTTATTAAGTGAGAAAAAAAAAAAAAAAATTATATATATATATTTATAATAATAATAATAATAATAATTATTCAAATCTACATACAAATAATGTACGTCAGCCATAACAAGTTAAGATGGAATATATTAACCTACAGAAATTTCCCCCGATACATTTTTTTATTTTATTTATTGTACAAATGTAATTAAAAAAATAAATAAATAAATAAATAGAAAAACAGTTCATATACCCAAATAACGGGTAAAAAATAAAAACCTACTAAATTTAACAAACATTTGTCAATCATTGGGTACAGGTATAAAATAAATTTGGTTCCTGCCCAGCAAAAGTATGGCCAATGCATGCTGGGATAAACCTGCGGTATATGAAACATGAACCTGTTAAACTGTGATTTAACTAGATAGCATAACATACATAAAACAGTATTGTACTGGACAAATGATAAAGGATTTAAGCATTATTTTAATATCCTATGTAGCAATACATATCCAAATCATGGCAACAAATACAGCAGATTTTGGTTTTTTGAAGGGGTGGGAGCAGTTCAGGTAATTAGTATGTATACTCTATTGCCAGTTGTGTAGTTTAAAAGGAAAGCTAGTGCAAGCCAGCATTTACTTGATCCTGCGCCAAAATGAGTTGTCTGTTGCCAGTTATTCATTACGATGTAAGCAGCATCATGTACGCTGCCTGAAATGAAAATTGGGCACTAATTGGCTGTCACAAACACTTCATATTCAGCATTGACATGACACTGCCTTCTCCAGTACTAGAGAAACTCAAATGATACTTTGAGGAATAAGAATAAAAAAAAATATATATATATAAAAAAAAAATAAACAAAATCAAACTTTCTACAAATTCACTTTCTTACAAAATGTTAGATTAATTAATTAATCAATTGTAAAATGTGTATTTGAGAGGACTTGCTAAGACAATACCAATCACAAGGCCACATTTCTTTATGAAGAATAATCCAGCCAGTTTTTGCAGCCTTAAGTCCCTTCCAAACAAAACAAACGTCTGTCCCATCACAGCAAAAGAACATGGATATGCGAAGTCTGCGAAGGTTAATCTTAAATAAATGAAGGCCCTTTGGGCAGGAAAGAACCAACAGAAGCACAGCAACTTAGAAAACACAAGATTTCATAAGGAAACAAACAGGATGAAGAACAATTAGATGGCGATAGCAATCACTTTAATCGTCATATGAAGTCTGCTCCAGTAGGTGAAGGGGTGCTTAGAAACAAATTCAAAATGAAATAGAAGGAAATTACAGGTCAATCTCGTTTGTATAGTCTTAATAAATACAGGGCTTTTAACTGGAAACATGAGTTACATACCAAACAAGAATTAGACTTACAGCTGCTGGGCACCCAAACCAGTGGGTCTCAACATTACTTCTTCTCTGTACTCCAATAGTGGGTTAAATTAAAAGGCAAGCCATGTCTCTCTCTCTCTCACACACACATATATTTCAAATTTCTGCTGCAAACCACAGAATCTGCAGCTTCTGCAGTGAGCACTGTTTAGACTGGGAAGTGGTTCAAAACAATTACAATAATTTACCTAATGTATGCCAGCACTGAGCTCGCCATCTATACCTGTAGTAGTGTTCTGTTTATTTTAATTAGTTGTTTGAACTGGATTCATTTTAAAGCGGTGCAAGGACATTTGTCGCTTAGACCAATCCAAGACAAATTAGACTAGAGATTAAAATCACCAAGGTAAAGAATAACTTCCTAGTCCTCCCAAAACATTAGGGAGGATGTTTTAGTATCGTGAATATTCTATATCTCCACCAGACAACAACGGGCTCTATTTTTTTGCATATATTTTACATAATATTACTGAAAATAGTTGGACTGGAGGTTTTTTAAGATCTTCCTACATAAACACGTGTAGCTATGGCAAATTTTCATTAGTTGTTCATATACCAGTTAGAGATCATTGACATATTACAGGTTATCAAAATATGGAAATCCATGTATATTTAACATGCCTACAAAACCAGGCTGACAAATGTAAAGGGCAACATGTGAGGATACGGTCTCTAAAGGGCCAGATTTATACTATTACTGGCATTTACAAAACACCAACAAAGTTTTGTAGCACTTTACAATTGGGGGAAAAGATAAAATGTAAAGAGGGATCTGCCCATGAGCGGATTATTAACGAATACAATGCTAATGCCATGATAATGTAATTTCAGTTGTAGAAGGCACTCCATATAAATTTCTCAAAATTGAACACGATGGGGGACACAGGTCCCTAGGTTTGCTCAGTGTGCCTGGTCTTGCAAGACCCAAAAATCAAAGAATAAAGCTAAATAAGACAGGACTCGCAGGTCCCAAAAGAACTTACTTACTGCAAGGCTACATAACTCTAAGCCAGGTTTCAAACATAAAAATACCCCCCTCCCCCCAATTCTGATTGCATGATCAATAAAATACTTTAAAGGACACTACAAGCACCACAACCACTACAGCTCTGTAGTAATTACGGTGCCAGGAGTGACCGGACACCTCTCCATTGTAAATAGTCAAACAATTTTTGAATGGTCTGACATCTTACCTGGGGATCTACTGGACGCCTCTACCCACTTCCACTACTAAAGCCAGAGAGCCGGAAGTTCCTAAGCAGGAGAGCGTTTCCTGATCACTCTCAGTCAATGAGCCAAATCATGCTCTACAGGGCTGATCTCAGGAGAGCCAATGGAAGTTCCAGCTCTCTGGCATTAGCAGTGGAGGCAGGTAGCAGCACCCAGCATACTCCAATTAAAACTTAAAAAGGAAACGATGAGCGGTAGTGGTGATGGTGCATAGAGTGATCCTTTAAGATAGCAATGCAGAAAATACTTCCATTCTTCCTCTTCTGCAGGGGTTATGGTCTTCTCAGTGTCTTAGAACCAGCTAAGATTCTCACAGAATCTGCCGTTTGCTGTGCTCTAATTCTACGAGATCTAGTGGACACCTGTGATCACTTAATCATCACTGTAAAAGTATTATTCCTGTAGCAATTTTAACAGACACTGTAAATTCACTGAAACATAATAAACAGTACAGTTCCCATTCACTCTCACAAGTGTTATTTATACAGGGTTACTTGCCAACATGTAATTTAAGTTCAAAATAGCTGAAATGGAACAATTACCCAAGTCTGACATGCTTTCAGATCAGCTACTCTGGTCTTACATGTGTAATCTATTTTGAATTGTCACTTTGGCAAATATATCTGAAAGGTGGTGGTCAGTGTGTATGGGTAAGTTGAACAATTTTTGAACATGGGAAACCAGGGGGTTAAAAAGGTTTAATTTTTTTGGAGGACTTAAACATCTTGTGTGACAAAAAAAAAAAAAAAAAAAAATTAACTACTTCCTTATAACTCTAGAAAAGAGTTTTGTACATTGTGTATGTAGTAGGAGTTAAATCCTCTCTGAACAGTTACACCAAAAGAGCAACCTTTCAAATACCGAGCTTCGTGTGTTGTTCATACATTACCCATTTTTCTGGTAAATAAAAGGTCACCAAATCTTGCTTACCCATTGCGGACAAAAGGTGGTTGACTGCCTGACAAGGCGGACTTGGAGTTTGAGTGGCTTTATCGCAACTCACAGGTGCAGGGCTCACTTCAAATGAGAAATAACCGCTGGAGGACTTGGAGACGAGCGATGTTCTTTTCACCAGCATGCAATGCGGGGATCTGTTGGCGAATGAACTGGGACTATATGGCGGTACAGATGTACCCCAAGGAGTGCTGGCAGAGGAGCTTCCCCCCTCATCAGAAAAATTACCTTGAGTAGGGCTGGTGAGGGAGGTTGGGGCCCCTCTTCTAAGGGGGCGATATGGAGGTCTACTGGTCGGCTGTAACTGGTCACTATCTCCGCTATCACTGCCCGGGCTCAACACTGATGGTTGTTTGGCCATTTGGTCTTCTTATTTCTGCAAGGTAAAGAAAAAAGGACATGTTCAGACATAGAACCTTTGAAATAACCACAACATGTTAAAAAAGAATATTTTTTAAAAAACTTGCTGTTTTACCGAATTTGGCTGCAACATCTGCACTGTTGGACTCTCTAGCAAGCATAAGAATTAAAAAAAATAAAAAATAAACTTCCTGTACCATATTGGCCCAAACCACAATAGGAAGGGAGGGGGAGGGGTCTGTTCGGTTCAGTGTAGAATGTAGAGGCCAAAACCAATACAAGAAAAAAAAAAAAAAAAAACGCCAAATTTATTTTAAAAAATAAACAACTAACACTTCTGCAGGGATATTGTGAGTCCGGGACAAATGAATTCTTCATGTATGAGAATAAGCAGTTACTGCCATTAAAGAAACATTTTTTGCCAGATACAATTCCAAGGGAGAGGGCTAAAATGCCTCAATTAATTCTCTATTAATGCAAAAATACATACAGAAAGCAATTAGGAAAAAAAAACTAATATGACCCAGTAGGAAATAAATCCATATATGATGTAGTTTGGACAATTGTAGTGAAGTTTATCTTGGACAGCAAAAACCAGTCTGTAGCCCAAACAGCATTAACAAGTAAAGGCTGATTCATTAAAGAGTCAGCTGTGCAGAGATATTGCAATATATAGAACAAAATAACTTAATACAAGACTAGAATAAATAAAAATCAGAGTTTGATTCTCCCACCTACCGACGTCCTGACAAAAGCCAGAGTATTGATTAGAGGAACACTCCAAGCACCATAACTACTAATGCATGCTGCAGTTTTTATGGTGGCAGGAGTGCCCTGGCACCCCCAATGCAAGTGTCCAAACCATTTAGGAACGGTTTGACTTCTTACCTGGAGTCTGCTCCCCACCTCAACAAGAAACAATGGAAAGGTAAAAGCTTCTAGCAATCTGTCAAATGTAGTAGAGACAGGCAGCTATTTCTGTCGCACCCCATGTAAGAAGGAAAACCATTTTAAAATGATTTGACTAGTTACAATGGGGGATGAGCAACCAGAGCATTAGAACCATCACAGCAAGTTGCAGTGCTTGTGGTATAAGCAGTATTTATTTAACAAAAACTGGAACAACGTGTAGAAGGGAACAAGAACCGACATCTTAAGCCCACTGTCACGGTTTATGGTGTAAGAAGGTCCCAGGCTGATGTCCGAGTTCTGTGTTTTATTTATACAAAAAAAAAAAAAAATCTTCCTTAAGGCTGCATCTGTAGATCTTTTCACGGTTTCCATAAATAGAGCCGTATGTAAGCATATTGCAGTAGAGTGCAAAGAGGTTTAAGGTGCTCAGCACTCCGTTAAACAATGGAACTGCAGTCCCAGGTAGCAAGCTGCAAATCCTGTGGATTTATTGCCAACACCAAAAAAGTATATATATATATATATATATATATATATATATATATATATATATATATATATATATATATATATATATATATATAAAAATTTAATATGTGTCCTTATCTTAAACACATTATCCAAGTTCACTTAAAGGGACACCAACCTTGAGTTGACCCCCATTTAAATCTTGCTAGCCAATTTGTGTGGCATTTGAAGAGGAGATGTCACCATTTATTGAGATGTTTCCTACTATAAAGCTGTGCAGCAGAGGCATGTGTGAAAAAAAAAAAAAAAAAAAATATAGATCTCCAAAATCCTTCAGCATGTTGGCACCATTATCTGTCCATTACAATCCACATGTTTAACAGGGTAGGTGCATCATATAGGTTTATTGAAGACAGGAACACAAAAAATAAAAACTTGTCAAATCCCAGGCGCTGGGTTCCTATGGCGACCATGATATTTGTACTAGCAATCTGGGATTTGTGAGCCCGTTCAGCCCAAGGTGACCGTTTACCAAAGATTGGAGAAGGGCAGTCGGCTTATGGAGGCTGCTAGGGTTGTGTCAATTGAGGGTGCTGTAATCTCCCTGCTCTGCTCCCTCCAGTGATGCCGGGAACCATATTATCACGTTAGTCCGGCCCCACATCACTAAACAGCACTCTAGGGGGCAGAGCAGAGGGAGATTGCAGCAGCCCTACGAAAAGCTGATCCACTCCAGCTCTCCAAAAGGTACGGAGGCTGGATGGATTTCGATTTAAAAAAAAATAATAATAATAATAATTTATGAGTAAGTGTTGCAGTATAAGTTTCTGTGCGTTTGTCAGTGAGTGTGTATCAAATCAGTAAGTGTGTATGTTTAGGCGACCTGCCCCCTCCAATCACATGGGAATGGTGTTCTTTCTCACCTTTTTTTCCCTGCCGTACAGGTGACACAGTTGCTGGCATCAATCTTGATGATCTTAGCCAATCCAATGCTTCCTCATAGTAAAGCATTGGTGATTATTCTGCACGCGTGGCAAAACACAACACTGTGCCAATCAACTTCTCATAGAGACGCACTGAATCAATGCATTCCTATGAAGGGCATTAACGTAGGTGCTACACACCGTGCAACACTGACCTAGGAAGCACCTCTAGCACCACTTCCTTTTGTCTGAAAAGTCAGTGTTTACATTGAAAAGCATGCAGGAACAGGATATAGACTTCAGAAGAACTACATTAAGCTGTAGAGGTTCTGGTGACTAGAGTGTCCCTTTAAGAATTGTATTTTTGACTTTGAAAAATCAGTCTCCTAGATTTCAATACAAATTTTCAAGCCCTGTTCTAGGCCAAAAAATGTTTTTTTGGCGTTTCTTTCTTCAATTCTACTATTACAATTTGGATGCTGCAGTTCTCTACCACGGTTTACCAAGCATTGCAGTAATTCCAATTTACATTTCTTTCTTGCATCCATGATGCCCAAATCATGCATGATTCCACTCTGGTGCATGCCACACAATATTAGATAGCATAAGATCGGCTCTGTATGCCAGACTGGGGTTTAACAGTCTTCAATTTGATGAAATTATAACGAATTAAAGAACGAATACGCAAAACCCAGCTATTAAGTAATGCATAAATCCCAGAGACAACAGTTCCTCTTTAACTAGAGAAGTTTTGAAAAGCTGGAAAAGGATACTTCTTCAAACAGCAGTTACTGAAAATAAAAACCTGTTGTACATGATCCAAAAGGACATAATTAAAAAGCCAAAAAAATTAATTTGCAACAAGAAATTATTTGTTTGCCTGTGAAAAGGGACTGCACCTTTCTGTAACACAAGCTATGCGGTGGACGGAACGGCTTACCCGAAACACTCTGTGCACTATTGTGAATGCATTTTTTAGTCATCTAAAAGCCACTGAAAGCTTTTTATAAATCATCTCATTAGTAGTGAAAGTTCTAGAGGGATTCTCGATGTTCCAGATAAGATCTGGACCTCAAGTTGTGTCGAATTTTCCCCGACAAAAGCATTCTAAAACCCTCACGTCTAACGAAATTCATCAACTGCTATATCATACTTTCGTAGGACTCTAGATACAAGTATAAAATGGACATTAAAGAAACTAATGTATATATGAGATGAGCCCAATCGAAACATGTAAAAAGTATTTAAGCAAACAAAAGGTGGGGGGAGACAAAAATCAGGAGGACATCAGATAATCCATCCACCTGACCCGTTCTCAATCTAGTACAGCTTAAATTTTTATTTTATTTTTTAACTCCAATTCCCAGATTAGTCTAGTTTTGTTGATTAATCTCATGACAGACAAAAAAAAATATTCTTTAAATAGAAATAACTAAACTAACGCTTTGCTAAACGTACAATAATCATCAAGTCATTTAAGGTAATAAACAAAATGTTTGACAATTTGGATAGGCAGCCCACAACCATCTACACAAGAAATAAAATCACAATCAGCTCGTAATCTACATTGTCTCATCACCATGCATTAGGGTTAGGTATTAGAGGGTTGGTGTAAATTGGATGTACATTATTTTTTCACATAAACCCACCCACTATGTAATAGTGGTTTTCTGTGACGGATAGATAGAGATAGAGATAGAGAGATATATATATAAATTTATTTTTTTTCCTTTTAGTAAGTTTCTCCAAAAAAAAAAAAAACAATAATCAGTTGTTGGGTTTTTACTTAGATTCAATGGCCTAGTAATTAGAAAACTTACAGTTTAACTATGTGAATATACAAAAAAAAAAAAAAACTCAAGTAACTTCCAATAATAGACTAACTTTTGGGCAGTCAACGGTTTTGTTTGTGTGTAAAAAAAAATAATAATACATGCATATTAGGCCCTAGAGAAAAGTTGTGGGTGTTTTGCTTGGATGGGTTTCGCCTCCTCACATTACTATAAGTTTTGGATTAAGTGATCAAGTTAGTGTCTTATAAAAAGAGATGCATCAGCTGTGGAGAAATACTAGCAGGTTCATTTTCCAGGTCATAACAGGAGAGAGGGCTGATCAGTGGTGCTGAAAAGTGAACAGCGTCTGCGGTAGTTTTAGTGACTGCACTGATTTTCTGCTGTATCTGTATTTGGCAGGACTCCTTATCCCAGCCCTATTGTTCTCTTGTTAAAGTGCTGAGCGAAGCAAGTCTGACAGAGGCTTGGCAAGGGTAACAGTTGTAGTAAGTGCGTCACAATAGGTTTATAGTAGAGTGAAAAAGCTTCCCTATGGGGAGGGAAAGGAACAGTTTACCCTTTCACTGCTGTATGGATTTACAGAGGGCACTACTACAAACATGGGGTTAACAGCTGTAGACACACTGTGCAGACTGTGCCAACACTGAATAATAAAAGCTAGTCTTGTGCCAGGATCATTTTTTTAATTAAGGAAATTTTGACAAAAAATTGGCTGAGCAACAGAATTTCAAACAGCACATAACACTTGTTAAAAAAAATAATAATAATAATTGTAAATAAAATGAACCACTCATCTCAAACCCAGTTTATTTAACCCCATCAGGACCAGGTTCAGGGAAAGGTTTCTTGTTATGAGAGCCCTGTTCAGTGTTAAGGCAATATGTAATCTATAGCAAATGTTATGTATATAATTAGAAGTTGTACTATTGCTCATTTGTAAAGTAATATAAGACTCAATGTTCAAACAAAACTTTATGCAACTTTGGCACTCCAAATCTTGATGAACTACATCTCCCTTGATGCAAAGCGTCTAAAATACTTACTAAGAAGAAGACCATGAGATATAAATTTGACAAACCAACATTTTTTTCACTCATAAATTACTAAAATGCACCAGATTCTACTGATCCTGCAATCATAAATGTGCTTTATGTAATAAAAATAAAGTGACACCGAAATCATTTGGCAGAGTGATACATATTCTAAACCACTTATAAAATATAGTCCTTATTAGCAGTACATGAAAAATATTCTTCATCCAGGTAACCTCAAAATTACATTTTTAGAACAGAAAATAATGGCAACAAGTTTTACACTGTAGCTAAGAGGACTGTACTAAAGCAGGGTTAAAAACTGTGTTTTTGTTGCTGCTCCATGCAGATCATGGCTTTTGTTGGCTTGAAACTTCATAACATCAAGCTGTCATTTGTAGTGTATGAAACAGCAAGGATGAAGAAGCTTTTTTAACAAGAAGCAGAAAGGGTCCCTCTACTGTTAGAGCCAGGCTGTCTGCAAACAAGGAGATTCCTTCACTTCCAAAGAGCCCTAGCAGACATCTTAACCTCATCCACTCTGTGTCCTGCATTAGCCTCTCACCCCAGGGAAACCAGTAATGGCATTTACTGACCATAGCCCCCCCTGCCTGATTCTAATACCAGGGGCAATCAATATTTAAAGACTGGAGAGTCTTCAGGAATATTAAAAAGTATCAATTCACCACTGACTAAGCAGGAAATTCAATATTATTCTGGTGACCTGGGATTATCCTCCATGTACAAGGATGCTAGTCTTCTGTATGGCTGATGGGCATTATAGTCTATAGTGCTGGCTATGACTCTGTACTGCAGTGGTTATGGACTGCATTTCCCATTATCCTCAGACACACCATGGATAAAAGAAGGAGCTGGATGCCTGTGCTTAGCCTTTAGTAATATAGAACAGGAGTGGCCATAGAGGGGGATCCCCCATCTGGTACTGAACTACAACTCCCACGATGCTTTGCCAGTTTGAAGGACGGCAGAGTAGTCTGGGAGTTGTAGTTCTTCCATAAAGTGTGTGAGAAGTTCCTATTTGGCCAGCTCGGATTGCAGCCAGCCCCAGACAGCGGAGCTGACACCATGCACAGCCATAACAACAACAACAAGAACAGCAGCAGCAGACACCGGCTAGGATTAGCAGCACTTACAGTCACAGGTCGGGATTCATGGTCTCCCCCTCCCCAGCATTGAACAGGTCTGCAGACAGTGAGCTCCGCCGGTACACAACTCCGGGAACAGCACCAGAAAATAATATCAATAATAATATCAATAATAATAATAACTCCTCCCAGGCCGGGAGCCGGACCGCTGCCTTCCACCTGGAGCTCCGAGTGCACAATGCCGCTCACCGACACGGGCAGCGCAGCAAGCCGAGCTGACGTCACAGGACCGCCCCCTACACTACTTCCTATTGGTCACCGGCGAGGGTGAACGGGGACAGGAAGGGCCAATCCGAAGCAGTAGCGGGCGGGAAATCCCCCCCCCCTTTTTTTTTTCCACATATGACACGCCCCCTTTCATGTGGCAGCTACTGAGTCTGCTGGCCCCGCCCCCCGGGTACTTTACGAGACGCGCGAGGCAGGATTGTTTACAAAGATTGTGTTTTGTTTTTGTCGTGTTCTCGTGCCGCGCTCTGCTCCGCCCCCCGGCTCGCGGCGTAAGTGAGGCTCGCGCCTGTCCTTCGTGGGGAGGGGGGTGGGAGGGAGGCGGTGTCACGCGCTGTGAAGCGGGGGGGGGAGGGGGAATTGAAGTAAATAATATATAGCGGTAGTTTATCGCCGCTGGGTCGGTTGTTTACAGACGGTCCTGTTATTATGGAGCCCCGGGTGGAGGGCGGTACCGGACCGCCTGTCACTGGCTGCAATACCAACATTGAGCACCAGGGGCGCCCGGACACAGTCTGATATATACACACAGTGCCTGAGCAATGCATCATGGGAGCTGCCCTCCTACTGGTGGCCAGTGCTGGTATCAAAGCGGCTATGCTTCATAGACTCGCTGAGCATCATGGGAAATGTCAGTTATCCAACAGGGCTGAGGGAGGGAGACACTCATACAGTTACCATCATTAATATGGGAGAGACACTAATACAGTTACCATCATTAATATGGGAGAGACACTCATACAGTTACCATCATTAATATGGGAGAGACACTCATACAGTTACCATCATTAATATGGGAGAGACACTCATACAGTTACCATCATTAATATGGGAGAGACACTCATACAGTTACCATCATTAATATGGGAGAGACACTAATACAGTTACCATCATTAATATGGGAGAGACACTAATACAGTTACCATCATTAATATGGGAGAGACACTCATACAGTTACCATCATTAATGGGAGAGACACTCATACAGTTACCATCATTAATGGGAGAGACACTAATACAGTTACCATTATTAATGGGAGAGACACTCATACAGTTACCATCATTAATATGGGAGAGACACTCATACAGTTACCATTATTAATGGGAGAGACACTCATACAGTTACCATCATTAATGGGAGAGACACTCATACAGTTACCATTATTAATGGGAGAGACACTCATACAGTTACCATCATTAATATGGGAGAGACACTCATACAGTTACCATTATTAATGGGAGAGACACTAATACAGTTACCATTATTAATGGGAGAGACACTCATACAGTTACCATTATTAATGGGAGAGACACTCATACAGTTACCATTATTAATGGGAGAGACACTCATACAGTTACCATCATTAATATGGGAGAGACACTAATACAGTTACCATCATTAATGGGAGAGACACTCATACAGTTACCATCATTAATGGGAGAGACACTCATACAGTTACCATTATTAATATGGGAGAGACACTCATACAGTTACCATCATTAATATGGGAGAGACACTCATACAGTTACCATCATTAATATGGGAGAGACACTCATACAGTTACCATCATTAATATGGGAGAGACACTAATACAGTTACCATCATTAATATGGGAGAGACACTAATACAGTTACCATCATTAATATGGGAGAGACACTCATACAGTTACCATCATTAATGGGAGAGACACTCATACAGTTACCATCATTAATGGGAGAGACACTCATACAGTTACCATTATTAATATGGGAGAGACACTCATACAGTTACCATCATTAATATGGGAGAGACACTCATACAGTTACCATCATTAATATGGGAGAGACACTCATACAGTTACCATCATTAATATGGGAGAGACACTCATACAGTTACCATCATTAATATGGGAGAGACACTCATACAGTTACCATCATTAATGGGAGAGACACTAATACAGTTACCATCATTAATGGGAGAGACACTCATACAGTTACCATCATTAATATGGGAGAGACACTCATACAGTTACCATTATTAATATGGGAGAGACACTAATACAGTTACCATTATTAATGGGAGAGACACTCATACAGTTACCATTATTAATGGGAGAGACACTAATACAGTTACCATCATTAATGGGAGAGACACTAATACAGTTACCATTATTAATGGGAGAGACACTAATACAGTTACCATCATTAATATGGGAGAGACACTCATACAGTTACCATTATTAATGGGAGAGACACTCATACAGTTACCATTATTAATATGGGAGAGACACTAATACAGTTACCAATATTAATATGGGAGAGACACTAATACAGTTACCAATATTAATATGGGAGAGACACTAATACAGTTACCAATATTAATATGGGAGAGACACTCATACAGTTACCATTATTAATGGGAGAGACACTAATACAGTTACCAATAATATGGGAGAGACACTAATACAGTTACCAATAATATGGGAGAGACACTAATACAGTTACCATTATTAATATGGGAGAGACACTAATACAGTTACCATTATTAATATGGGAGAGACACTCATACAGTTACCATTATTAATGGGAGAGACACTCATACAGTTACCATTATTAATGGGAGAGACACTAATACAGTTACCAATAATATGGGAGAGACACTAATACAGTTACCAATAATATGGGAGAGACACTAATACAGTTACCATTATTAATATGGGAGAGACACTCATACAGTTACCATTATTAATATGGGAGAGACACTCATACAGTTACCATTATTAATGGGAGAGACACTCATACAGTTACCAATAATATGGGAGAGACACTAATACAGTTACCAATAATATGGGAGAGACACTAATACAGTTACCATTATTAATATGGGAGAGACACTAATACAGTTACCATTATTAATATGGGAGAGACACTCATACAGTTACCATTATTAATGGGAGAGAAACTCATACAGTTACCATCATTAATATGGGAGAGAGACTAATACAGTTACCATTATTAATATGGGAGAGAGACTAATACAGTTACCATTATTAATATGGGAGAGACACTAATACAGTTACCATTATTAATGGGAGAGACACTAATACAGTTACCATTATTAATATGGGAGAGACACTAATACAGTTACCATTATTAATATGGGAGAGACACTCATACAGTTACCATTATTAATGGGAGAGACACTCATACAGTTACCATCATTAATATGGGAGAGAGACTAATACAGTTACCATTATTAATATGGGAGAGAGACTAATACAGTTACCATTATTAATGGGAGAGACACTCATACAGTTACCATCATTAATATGGGAGAGACACTCATACAGTTACCATTATTAATGGGAGAGACACTCATACAGTTACCATCATTAATGGGAGAGACACTCATACAGTTACCATCATTAATGGGAGAGACACTCATACAGTTACCATCATTAATGGGAGAGACACTCATACAGTTACCATCATTAATGGGAGAGAGACTAATACAGTTACCATTATTAATATGGGAGAGAGACTAATACAGTTACCATTATTAATGGGAGAGACACTCATACAGTTACCATTATTAATATGGGAGAGACACTCATACAGTTACCATTATTAATGGGAGAGACACTAATACAGTTACCAATAATATGGGAGGGAGACTAATACAGTTACCATCATTAATGGGAGAGACACTAATACAGTTACCATTATTAATGGGAGAGACACTCATACAGTTACCATTATTAATATGGGAGAGACACTCATACAGTTACCATTATTAATATGGGAGAGACACTCATACAGTTACCATTATTAATGGGAGAGACACTAATACAGTTACCAATAATATGGGAGGGAGACTAATACAGTTACCATCATTAATGGGAGAGACACTAATACAGTTACCATTATTAATGGGAGAGACACTCATACAGTTACCATTATTAATGGGAGAGACACTAATACAGTTACCATTATTAATGGGAGAGACACTAATACAGTTACCAATAATATGGGAGAGACACTAATACAGTTACCAATAATATGGGAGGGAGACTAATACAGTTACCATCATTAATGGGAGAGACACTAATACAGTTACCATCATTAATGGGAGTGACCAATAATATGGGAGAGAGTTACCAATAATCAGAGTGATTAGGGTTACACTAGGGGAAATGGAAGCAAGGATTAGCTATGTCGGGGAGCTAAGATTAGCTATGTCGGGGAGCTAGGATTAGCTATGTCGGGGAGCTAGGATTAGCTATGTCGGGGAGCTAGGATTAGCTATGTCGGGGAGCTAGGATTAGATATCATGGGAGCTAGGATTAGATATTAGTGTTACGCTAGGAATTATTGGAGCTAGGGTTAGATATGGGTTTCACTAGGGGTTATGGGAGCTAGGATTAGATATTGGGTTACACTATGGATTATGGGCGCTTGGATTAGATATTGGGGTTATGCTAGGGTTAGGTATTAGGATTACGGGAGCTAGGGTTAGGTATTAGGGTTACGCTAGGGGTTATGAAAGCTAGGATTAGCTATTATGGGAGTTAGGATTAGATATTAGGGTTACGCTAGGGGTTATGGGAGCTAGGATTAGCTATTATGGGAGTAAGAATTAGATATTGGGGTTACGTTAAGGGTTATGGAAGCTAGGATTAGATATTAGGGTTAAGATAGGGGTTATGGGAGCTAGGATTAGGGTTACGCTAGGTGTTATGGGAACTAGGATTTGATATTAGGGTTACACATGGGGTTATGGGAGCTAGGATGACATATTAAGGTTCGGTATAAATTATGGGGAGATTGGATTACATTATAGTCTAAGGGTTTTGCCAATTTGAATAAAAAAAAAAGTTTGGGTCACGTTAGAGGTTTAGGAAATTCAGGTAACAGGTTGTAGATGGTTCATGGTAATGTTAGATTTTAGGATTAGGCTATAAATAAAGAGAGTAACAAGTGTGAGGTTATAATAAGGATTATGGAAGTTTAACTTCGATATTAGTGGTAGATTAATGGTTATGGGGAGTTCTATTAGTGATTACTTGTAGGCCAAGAGTTCTGGTAGTTTAAGTTAGAGGTTATCCTCCGAGTTGAAGGAGTATTAGATATTAATTGTATGCTTGGCGTTCATCATCTTTAGGACACCAAACTGTAGTGGTTATAGCACAGAGCTGAGAGGAGGCAGGCAATAGCACCTAGGCGGACCCCAGTTAAGAAGTTAAGGGAACACAATAGTCTCTCATAAATGTAAATATGTATTCCTGACACTATAGATGTAAAACACCTTTTAGGGTATTGACCCCTCAGGGTCACAGCCACTCGAGTGGTGTTTAGCCCCGCAATGAAAAAACTTTATAGTGTATCATCAAAACGGCAATGTTTGACATTGCCGGAGTAAAACACCAAGGTCACTGCTACTAGACGACTTCAGTAGTCTACTAACATGGAAGGTACCATAACAACTACATCACACTTTAGTGATTATTGGTGCTTGGAGTGTTGGGTTTGGGTTATTGAGAGTAATTTTAAAGTTATTCTGGGGGTTAAAGATATTGGGTTAATACAGGATTAGGTTATATTTATTGAAGTAAAGGTTAGAGGTTAAGAAATTGGCATATTATTTATTTTTATTTCATTAATCAGAGCTTGACTGAGAATGGTGGTCTTTCAATCACCTATGATGCCATGTGCAGGTAGAATGCAAAACTTAGAGTGATAGGGGGCTGCTGAAGTATACTGGTACCCAAAACACAAGCACACCTGGGCATTTGTGTTTACTCCAGTGGTACTCTAACACATTTGATGCAATCATAGATCAAGTGGCTCTGATTCAGCACTACTGCAGTCATACAGCAAAGAAATATTGTTTATACGCTTCTGTGAGGAATACTGAAATGGACCTTGTGCAGGATTTATAGATAACTTCAAAGCCAATATTTTGATTCATGCACGTTTTAGGACATTAAGTACCAGTTGGAACTAGGGAAGACTGAATTTCAACAATTACTGCAACCAATGAATTTCTCATGAATGGCTCCACAAGGTAGCATTCATATATTAAACAGGAAGAAATAAATCATTCATGATGAAGCAGTGATATGAATAGATGAGTTCATGCAGTCACACAATGCGCATTGTTAGGTGGCACCTTACATGCGCAATCTTTACATGGTCAGGTAGGGGCACATGGCGCAAGCAAACAATGAAAATGGAGTCATCCAAAAAATAGTCAGGACAAAAATTTTTTAAAAAACGTTAAAAGGGTAACTCCAACCAAAAAACTGTGTTTTCATAAGACATTTGTTTTGGACCTTCAGTGCTGGTCCTGCCCAAACAAAATAAATACATTTTAAAAAGCCTAAACATTTCCCTCACAAAGGCCACATTTGCCTCATCCTCCTTGGCCAATGTCTCTTCCCCTCAATAGAAGGGAAGGAATGTCAGGGAGGACAGGGGCGACATGGAGTGTGGGGCGCCTCATTGGCTGTCTGGCGCCAGCATGTGATTCCAGATTTGCACAGAATAGACATTAGCCAGCATGGAAATTTGTTCTGAGCTGCCAAATGGTGCTGCTGGAGGTGGATTTAAGGTGTTCATCTCTGTATGTGCAGCATTTCAAAGCAAAAACACTGCACATATAGATTCTAGGCACCATAAATGACCACTTCCAATAACTGAAGTTGGCATGGTGCTTGGGGAAACCCTTTAAGTAAGGCAAATTTTAAAGTGTCTCATTCACAAAAATTAAACAATCTAATCTGCTTCTACACTGAACAAAATTATAAACGCAATACTTGGTTTTGCCCCCATTTGTCATGAGCTGAACTCAAAGATCTAAGACTTTCTACGTACACAAAAGGCCTATTTCTCTCAAATATTGTTCACAAAGCTGTCTAAATCTGTATTAGTGAGCACTTCTCCTTTGCCGAGATAATCCATCCACCTCACAGGTGTGGCATATCAAGATGCTGATTAGACAGCATGATTATTGCACAGGTGTGGCTCAGGCTGGCCAAAATAAAAGGCCACTCTAAAATGTGCAGTTTTACTGTATTGGGGGTGAGGGGGGCCAAAAACCAGTCAGTATCTGGTGTGACTACCATTTGCCTCACACAGTGAATCACATCTCCTTCACATAGATTTGATCAGGTTGTTGACTGCGGCTTCTGGAATGTTGGTCCACTCCTCTTCAATGGCTGTGCGAAGTTGCTGGATATGGGCAGGACCTGGAACACACTGTTGTATACACCGATCCAGAGCATCCCAAACATGCTCAATGGGTGACATGTCCGGTGAGTATCCTGGCCATGCAAGTACTGGGATGTTTTCAACTTCCAGAAATTGTGTGCAAATCCTTGCAACATGGAACTGCGGGCATTATCATGCTGCAATATGAGGTGATGGTCGTGGATGAATGGCACAACAATGGGCCTCAGGATCTCATCACAGTATCTCTGTGCATTCAAAATACCATCAATAAAATGCACCTGTGTTTGTTGTCCATACCATACGCCTGCCCATACCATAATCCCACCGCCACCATGGGCCACTCGATCCACAAAGTTAACATCAGCAAACCGCTCACCCACGCTGTCTGCCATCTGCCCTGTACAGTGAAAACCAAAATTCATCCGTGAAGAGAACACCTCTCCAAAGTGCCAGATGCCATCGAATGTGAGCATTCAGGTCGAGACCACGATGAGAAGATGAGCTTCCCTGAGACGTTTTTTTACAGTTTGTGCAGAAATTCCTTGGTTATGCAAACCGATTGTTGCAGCAGGTGTCCGGGTGCCTGGTCTCAGACAATCTTGGAAGTGATGCTGGATGTGGAGGTCCTGGGCTGGTGTGGTTACAGGTGGTCTGCGGTTGTGAGGCCGGTTGGATGTACTGCCAAATCCTCTGAAACGCCTTTGGAGACTACTTATGGTAGAGAAATAAACATTCAATTCACGGCAACAGCTCTGGTGGACATTCCTGCAGTCAGCATGCCAATTGCACGCTCCCTCAAAACTTGCGACACCTGTGGCATTGTGCTGTGTGATAAAACTGCACATTTCAGAGTGGCCTTTTATTGTGGCCAGCCTAAGGCACACCTTTGCAATAATCATGCTGTCTAATCAGCATCTTATTATGCCACACCTGTGAGGTGGATGGATTATCTCAGCAAAGGAGGAGTGCTCACTAACACAGATTTGTGAACAATATTTGAGAGAAATAGGCCTTTTGGGCAAAAAAACAAGAATGCTGCGTTTATAATTTTGTTCAGTGTATATTGCTTTTTATATAGCTCCTGGTGTCTGAAGCTCTTGATTTTTCTTCCATTTGGGTGATACATTTGCTTGCTGGATACTCCAGTTGACTTGAAGGGAGGCTTATATCTTGCAGAAGAACATAGCTGCACAGTATTCTCAGCAACCAAAAATACCTACACTCAGACAATATAGTCCAAACAGAGAGACTTATCCAGGCCATATATGAGAAGATAAAAAGAAAACACAGATCCACAAAAGAGTGGAGTGTCATTTTTCAAATGACTCCACTTAGGGAGAGTTTTAGCTCATGGCAAACCTCTCCCAAACACAGAGACTACCCATTCTCCTTCTCACACTTCTGCATTGAGGATTTTCATCCAACCAGGATCACAGTGATAGGCTGAAATCTCTGAAATTGGGATTGTCACATTGTCTTTCACGTCGCATGACTTTAAAAATATGAAGAGATAAGCATATAAATCATGATATTAAAGTGTGAGTGTCAGAGAGGTAGTTTTACGTAGCAGGGGCACCCTCCTATTTTTTAACATTCTATCTACGGTTTTCTAGACAGATTAGGATCTAAGGGTTTAATTAGTAGATCGTCTAAGTTGTTGGAACGAAAGTTGGATGCTCAAAAAAATTCTCCCATTGTCAAATGGGAAAAGGATCTCAATTTATCTTATACCCCTTTCGAATGGTACCAAGCTACTATCCAATTTAAAAAAAATATCCATTGTATATATCTGTTAGAATTACATCTAAAGATTACATACAGATGGTACCTAAGTTACATACATTACATAAAATATATGAAGCATATTCACCCCTATGTTGGAGATGTAAAAAAGAGACTAGCACGATAATTCATATATGGTATAGTTGTGATTTATTGAAAGATATCAAAGTCCATATCTCCTCCTTGATCTCAGATCTAATTCTGGATACTATATTACTTACACACTCCATACCCTTTTTAAAAAAATCATTTGAAATCTGACAAAAACCATGGAGGGGATTCACCCATTGTTCCCAAGCCCCATAACCACTACAATAAATTGTAATGGTTATTGAAATTGGAGTTTCCCTTTAGGCACTGCATGTACATAACAGGAAGAGAGATCACCTTCAACCATTAGCGAAAATATTGCAGGATAAAACCTCTTAAATACAGGTGCACACAAAATATAAGAAATTGTTTTAAAAATACAGCACTAAAATGCATTGTACATGCAGTATATCTTCTATAAAAACAGTAGGACAAATGCTTCCTTATGATTATATAAACAAATGAAATAGCTGAATGTTAAATAATTTCAAAAAAAAACTATACAATGTTCATTCAACAAAGCTTGTCAATCTCTCTCTCCAAAAGCAGTGTAATATCAATCAGGTGATAGAAACAATATTGCAGTTTTCAGAGGCGATCACTTAGTAGAAGTTCATTAAGCAGCCATCATATTTCCCATTTTAACTTAAATGAATACTATAAATAAGCATCAAAACTATTTTAGCTCAATTAAGCAGTTTTAGTGTATAGGTCATGCCTGTGCAGACTCACTGCTCAAATTCTCTGCCACTTAGGAGCACTTCTATTTAGGTTTATGTAGCCCTCGCCACACCTCCCCTGGCTGTGAATTAAACAACCTACATGAAAAAATGGTTTCATTTTCAATTAGATGTTAGCATGCCTTAAAGGTTTGTATCTCCTGCTCTGTAAATTGAACTTTAATCACACAGGAGGCTATTAACAGGAGATACGAAATTCGAAACTAAACAGACTGTGCAGTAAAGGAAGTTTTAACATAATATTGCTCTTTACAGGAAGTGTTTGGGAAAGCTTTGTAATTCACATGCAGATTGGTGTGACTAGGATTGCATAAGCAAAGTGATTTAACTCCTAAATAGCAGAAAAGTGAGCAGACTGCAAGTGCATGATATATACACCGAAACCACTCCATTAAGCTATAGGCTGTTTTGGTGCCTTAAGCAAGCATAAACATTGCATAGCAAAATACGGTTTATTTGGGTAAATGCAATATAAGATAATGAAAACCCTTACTAAACGTGCATTGTGCAAACACACTGTGAGCAGATAGCTGGTTACACCTCCGTAACAAATGTCTAAATCTTAGACCTCCATCTCGGACTAGGAAGTCCTGAACTGGAAGGGTGCCAGAATGGGAGCAGCTCTGTACTGGTCTCAGTGCAAATGTAGATAGTGTGCTACTTCAAAGCATTTCGCTCATGCAGTTGGGCTTTCTTAAGATAGAGTGAGGCCTGATAAATACCCTCCATACCAAATTGGTTCTTAAAGTCATGGTTATGTCTTAAACCATTAAAAAAGGCAGAGTATCAAAACAAAACAATAATCTATATCATCAGTGTAAGTATATATATTTTTAAAGTTTAAAAGAAGAAAATCAAAATAAAACTTAAATTACAAATCATAATTAACAATACATTAGAAACAGCAATGATATATATTGCAAAAACACAAAAAAGGAATATACATTAGTACACATTCATATTACTACTAAAACTATTATTTTGCCCCACATATAATATAATATAATACAAGGGATTCAACATTGTATTTCCAGTATAGATGTTTTGCAATGATAATCTTAATATTATCCTCATCCAAAATAATAAATAAATGCAAGAATATTGCCTCATGTAATAATCATACTAACACAGCAAATTTCACAAAGACCTAGTTCTGACTGTATATTGCAATTAGTCTCATAAATTATTCCATCTTTTCATTCAACCATAAGGGTGCAAGACATGTCAAACTAAAAATCCACAACATATCTTATTGTAAAGGTCTAGTGCCAATACCCCCTCCACCCCCATGGTAAAAAATAAAAAAAATAAATGAATGCCTAAATTCTTCAAGACGCTAGGATTTCCTCCATGGACATCATTACAATAGACGTCAAGGAATAATTCTCATTCCTCCTTTAGATTAGCAACATGTTCTCCTAATCACACTTTTAATTCTCCTTGCTAGACGCACCTACCGAAGTCCACAGGGTCAACTTGTCATTTACAGGGACAAGTAATGACATTTAATCATATTAATCCAATTTATTCATATTTGTCTGCAAAATTAGTCTTATACACCTTCTTGGTTACTATTAATTCAAAAGGTGTCTATTTTCCCCTACTACCTTACAAATATGACAGTTGCCACACCTGGAAAAAATCTTTACGTCCCCCCAAATAATGATTATCTCTATGAGGCATAGTTGAGTTCTGTACAAATTTGATCCTTAAACTAGGGGCTTAAAAACTACCTGGGATTTTTGTGCCACACAATCCTCTAATGGAACGTGCCAATGTTTTCTACTAATTCGTTTAGTGTTATTCGATTTAACATTGTAATAAAGTTAAAGTAAATAAAATAAAAAATATTGATGGGCACATATAGGTCCCTACTCATTTGATCCTTTTTAGGTTCCAGTAGTTTAACTTTCTCCTCCATCTGAACAATTTGTAAAGCCTCCTCTAAAATTGCTAAATCAGAATACTTTCCTAAAAAACGATGTTTCAACCTAAATGCTAGTTCTTTAAAACCTTTAAATTCAGTGCAATCTTGATGAATCCTTTTAATTTGCTCCTAAGGAACATTTTTAAACATGGTGGTAACTAGAATATATATATATATATATATATAAAAAAAGAAGAAAAAAAAACTATTTACATGAGCTATTTTTTTTCTGAAGTTCTGAATATAAAACAGATTTTCAATATACAGTTCCAAATTTAAAATCTCCACTATAGAAGGACTATTTCTAAGCAACTGAAATCCCTATAGTATTAGAATGAAATGGAATAAAAAAAAAAAAAGTTTAGACACCTGTCCATTCCATAGAAGAAAAAAGAAAAAAAAAAGAAAAGAAACTGTCATCTATATAGCGTTTGTAGAGGACCAGGTCTGCACGGCTATGCCCCAGCCAAAATCAACCCTAGTTTTTATAAATTATTAAAAGAACTTTCGATTTCCTTTGAAAAAGGGTAACACAGACCTATCTATTGAATCATCTTTAGTTTAACCCAGCAAAATTCATGCTAAAATAGTAAAACTGGGATTATAGCCAGTTGGAGATTTTTTTTCTCTTTCAAATCTGATATTGTTTCCCCTCATGGATATTTACTTAACTGTGAATTGCAGTTAATTCAGAATCGATTTGCCAAGTTTAAGCTAAAATGTTAAAATGCAGGTGTGTTGGCAGCCCATCTATCCTCCTGTTAGAATACAAGTCTCTAATAATTTCTGAACAGTCCCTGTATACTCTAGACATGTCTGTGACAATATTTCAAATTAAGATTTACAGTTTATATACTTTTAGAAAACAGCAATAATATGACTAAAAATATATGCAAAGTGGAAAATAGTCTGCTCTGTAAAGAACAGGGAAGTGATAATTAGCCATTGTTTGTAATTGGAGCTTTTACCAAGAGGGATATTTATTACAGGGAGAATTTAAGGTTAATTTAAAATATAAGGTCAGATTAGCTGAACTGAAAGCATGGCTGACTTACAGAGTGTTTCTAGATACACAATTTTGACCTTAACTTTGAAATTTGCCTTGTTTTCACTTTGAATTCTCACTCTAGTAAATAACTTTGTAAGTGTTCTCTTACCTTAAGAGGAACTGAAACTTGACCTGAACTGAGTTGTGACAATTTTCACCTAACTTTAACTTATTCCATCCCAACAGGCCCCTAAATGCCAGCTAAACCTTTTCTGTGTCCCTCAGCACACTGCTGTCACCTACCAGATTTTTCACTATTATGCATACGTCTCCGTTTAACAAATGGATATTTGTGAGGTGTAAAAGATAAATTTACTGTAAATATATAACTTTACACCTCTGTTCTTTGCCGAGCAGTCAACATAGAGTAAACATACAGAGAAGAGGAGAGCATTTGCAATGTTCGCCCTGGCTTTGCCTTGTCTGAACTGGATTGTGATGTAACTTGTTAAGTCTTTAATATAAATGTAAAAGAAAACAGAGCATTTTATGAAAATTGTCAATGTTTTCTGTCACTCAAAACTTTATTAAATGGTGCAACCTCCTGAAAAGTGACAACTCCCCTCTAGACAACAAGAGAGACAATACAAAGTGGAAAGATCTCACTGCAAACTATGAAATAAATGAATGTACTAACAGACACATACAGCCACCCACACAGAAACACGAGTAGCCAGGCCTCAGTGTCAAGGTCCTAACTTTCAGATTTGTTTGCCACCATTTTCCATCCAGATGCCATTTTCCGGTTTCCCATAGATATTTTTGCATACTGACTAGAAAGTGTTTCTGAATCCCACATTTCTTGTTTAAATCTCAACAATGGACAAACATTTATGTTAATGATTGCATGTTCTAGGTCTCCCCATGAGATTCCATCTCCCACTAACTGTACACAGTTGACCAATTTAATATTTTTTGTAATTGTCTGTAGTGCTGTAGTGTTGGTATACACAGAATATACCATCATTATTCTATGATAGACTCTATCAAATATGTAATCATATCTTTTAAACACACAAATAAATAACATATATACACACACACAAAAATAAGTTCTGCGCTCAAACTTCCACTACTCATGGGCAGCAACAATGACCATAGCACACATTAGCGTCAATACATACAAAACAAGCAAATAAAAAAAAAAAATAAAAAAAAATTACCTCTGCTCTAGCCCAAATCCCTAAATAAATTGAGGTTATTTAGTAAATAAGTAAATATATACTTTCAAAAAGATTACATTTTGTTCTTAAAAAGGTTTAAGAATAAATCTTTAAACTGTCTTTTGTGGCTAACTATTCATTTATCATTTGGCAAATGGCCCTGTGAACGATTTGTAAAGATTGGAAATGGAGTTTGTGTTCATGTGTCCATCATGATGATAAGGAGACAGAGAAATATCACACGTTTAAAGCATTGTTTTGACCTGGTCTGTGTTATTGTAAATGCCTCCTGTTGGGCTACTGTTTTCGGTTTATGATTGCAAGCAATGTTTAGCATGTAGGGCCAACCTGTTAATAGCAAGCCTTCTATTCAGACAGACACCTAAGCCACAAACACCACTATCAGATTTGTGAAGGCATATTTTAATGGCTTATTCTAGTTTGGCTCCCACTCTACTTTTTGGTCTATAGTGTGTATATGTATTTAGACAGAGACTTGTCTGAGTGAAACTTGATTCACTGTGAGAGAGAGTAATGTAGGAAGAGAAAATGGTAAAAGTTATGAGTTAAGTCTATAGTTGACATCTATACGTTGAGATCATTTTTGTATTATAGCATTACAGTTCCTGCTTTGTACAATAGGTGGACTAACAAACAAGTAGTTGCAACAAAACAAGTTGGACATAACAGGAACACATGGTGGTGAGTGCACTGCCTGCTCAGAGTGTTGCAGAGTCATTGTACAGAACATTATTAGCTATCTTTATTGCTTCTTGCTAAGATAGTAGATGACATAGAATGCCCTTTAAAGAAGTGCTGAAGGAAAACACATTGTGTGTGTGTATGTATAGTGATCTGGTAAGCAGAAATGTGTTGTTTTTTTGTTTTTTTTTATGTAATAACCTTGTTCCCCAAACTTGTAACTTGCTCATCTTTAACTTACCACTGTTACCTTGGTAGAGGAGAGGTATGACAGAAAGTGTACATGGGGCAATGTACTGAACAGGGAGCCGTCACCATGTAAACTAAGGGACCATTCTAAGTTTTTTTTTTTACTTTACTTACAGTTTGTGACAGCATATCTGGGCTCCCTTAATAGATCTGACTTGTAAACTCAGAATGACATGATGGTTGCAGTAAACAACCCAAAACACCAAATCTCTCTCTCTCTCTCTCTCTCTAATATATATGAAAAACACAAGATTATTATTTATTATATATATATACACACACACACACACGTAGGCATACATATATCCAGGAATACACTAGGTTAAATTTAGATTTACTTAGCCCGTCTTAAAAGGAAAATAGCTGAACGTTGACTAGTTATACGTAACTAGCCCTAGATAAATCTGGCCAAGCGTTATTATGGCACTTGTTCTGCAGTAATTGTGTATCTATCTTGTTTGGCCAGACTTGTTCTACATTTTTTGATCTCTCGGATACTCTGACAGATGAGACGAATTCCCCCATCCTGTACAGCAGTGGTCAGTCATCACTCTGCATGTCCTGGAAGCTGTATTTTCTCTTACCCAGGTATACGCACAGTATGCTGATCAGATATCTGGCACTGTACAGACACACCGGGAGCTCTCGATCACTGAGCTCCACCCTAAAGCAGATAGTTCAACCCCCCTCCCCGGGCCCCCTGACAGGGCTCTGCGCCTCAATGATCAGAGCCAACTGTGAGGCGACATTTGTCAGACTGGGGCTGATCACTGGGTAGCAGGGAACTGAGAGCTCAGAGCAACTCAGCCGCTGTCATCCTTACTGTCACCCCTACTCAGAGCAGCTCAGCCACTGATATCCTCACTGCTACCCTCACTTAGAGAAGCTCTTCCACTGAGATCCTCACTGCTACCTTCACTTAGAGAAGCTCTGCCACGGAGAACTTCACTGTCACTGAGATCCTCACGGCTACCCTCACTTAGAGAAGCTCTGCCACTGAGATCCTCACTGCTACCCTCACTTAGAGAAGCTCTGCCACTGAGAACTTCACTGTCACTGAGATCCTCACGGCTACCCTCACTTAGAGAAGCTCTGCCACTGAGATCCTCACTGCTACCCTCACTTAGAGCAGCTCAGTCACTGTCACCTTTACTGTCACCCTCGCTCAGAGCAGCTCCCTCTCTGTCGTGCACCGTGCTCACTCACAGCCAGATGCGCTAAGTGACGCTAAGCAATATCCAGTGCACAGAACTAGTTCGGTATTCTATAGGACTATTTTATTTTGCTTTGTAATTTCTTTTAAATAAGATTTTACACACGCTAATGTAACATCCACAATATACACTTACACAGAGAGTTCAGAAATCAGAAAACCCATTTCAGTTTCCACTTATCACACATAATATACATAAATCGTCAACAGTACCAATGACTCATGTATGTTTCACACTAAGGATCTCAACGATCTTAACATTATGTGCTCCACATAGCTATATATGTATACAAGAGATCTAAAACCAGAGCACAAAGTAAAGAAAGGATAATAATATGAATTCCGGGTCCCTCTGGTCGAATAACTCAAATTACTGCATCATATATAGGGATGCTTTGTACTGCATTGAATCCATGGGATGCTCTGTGTAATAGTATAGAGGGGGTGCTGGATACTCTGTATTGTAGCGGGGGTTATGGGAATGGTATATATTGCACTATACAATAGCACCTGTATGTATGTATGTATATATATATATATATATAATATGTGCCCATCCTCAGTCATAATACATTAATATCCAGCCCTTTATTATGTGCTGATATATAACAGCTAACTTGGCACTCTACCCTCCCCATAACTCTCCATCTTGCCGGCAGTGTGCAGATATGTCAGCCTACCTATATGATAAAAGGTCATGGCACTACACTACCAGTGTGGAGGTGGTGGGGGTACATTTTAATTGCTCGGCAGCAGCAAAGTTCTGGAAGTAGTGCAATAAGCAGCAACAGTTTCCATGGTGATTGCTCCATCCTTAGAACTTTGCCGTAGGCTCGATTTTAGTCAATCCTCACATTGTAGCTCTTGATTTGGGATGATAAGGATCTATGACAATAACATATCAAGTTTCGATAGTTGTTCTGATACAGCAAAATGTTTAATTCGCCTATAGAATTGCCGAACAATTGATAAAGTAACTGATTTAAAAAAACAAAACAAAAAAAATCTGTCGTTACATTGACTCCTGAGGACTGTAAGTCCCATCAAGCTCAGTATCTGGCAGGCTGAGTTTGTAAGTTGCAGCAATGGTACCCGGCACAGTGGGGACCTCATGTTTATTGAGATGCTGATGATTGCCCTTTCTATGTCAGAGGGCAGTGAACTCCCGCCTGGCACCAAATCCCCAGCTCTCGTGGAACTGCAACTCCTATGATGCTTTGCCAGCCTTAACACTGACAAAGTATCATGAGAGTTGCAATCCTTCGGCCATTCCTTCCTTAAGACACAGATACAGTGTAACCCTACTATACATTGCGCAATATGTATCACTCTCATTAGGTTAAATTAAAGGGACCTTTACCTTGGCCGAAACACATCTCCCTGGGATTTTTGGAGAACAGAGTACATCCTCATTGCCGAAGCCCCCCGGGCCCCCAGATCAGTGAATCCCCAGCTTGTAGTCCTATAGGCAGCGATCACACGGCGACAACCTCAGCTAACCTCGCTGGAGGCAGGCGTTCTGTGGATGGAACACTGCGAGTATTCGAAAGACTGTGCGTCTCAGCCAATCAGAGAGCTGGGCGTGTTAATTCCGCTGCGCACGCCTGCCTTCCTGTATAGATCGATGATTGGTAGTTTATTAACCCTTCCCTCAGCGTTACTCTTTTTTTTCAGGTATGGGGGAGGGGCAATAGATAGTTAAGAGGAGGTGAGATGGGGGAGGGGGAGGGATAAATAGATAATGGAGGGAACGAGATGTGCTGTGAAAATAAGTAAATAAGTAATTAAATCTCACTATCCCTGGATGCAGTGACTGTAAATCTATACAATAAAGCTGCATTGGGTAAAAGACTCATTTCATTTTCACTTTGGAAACAATGTAACCATATAGGCAGCCAATAGCAAGTTTAACATAAAGGGAGTCTGTGAATAAGGAATGAGTCACAGCAGTCCTGCAAGTGGCGCAGTCACCATAGCAACCAAGGAATGTCCCAGCGTATTGCTGCATTTTCAGATCTCTGCCCCACAACTGCCCATTTACTATAACCATCAAATATATATATATATATTAATCTTAACATTAAAGCCCGGATCAGGCAGCCACAGTAGGAAGTGTTTATTAGATGTGTTAATACGGTGAGATTTACTAAGCGGACAGTGGAATCCGCCAAAACAAATTCACAGGAATTGACCAATATACAGAGATCACAGTAATAATGTATGGTGCACACACTGATCTCCTTGATCAAATAATACTGAGATCCGGGAAGAGATACTAATAATTCCAAAAATGATCTAGTTACATCCTAAATAATTGGGTTTAATTTGCATGGCTGTGCTTTTTATTAATGTATACGTATTATTTCATTATTCTATCTTTTTTAATTTATTTTTGCTGTTCTCCAAAAATACCTTTCACCCCATCGTTAAATATCTCTGTGAATATAATAGGTGTGGGTGTTTAATATGAGTTATCAGGATTATTCACTGAATTGAGGATTCAGAGTGAATTTTAAATGTAAGGTAAAAAATAGCCGAATAGGGAAAATAGCTATGTTTATAGTTCTGTATTGAGTTCGACTATTCTAAACTTAAAATCGAATTCTCACTTTAGTAAATAAGTCTTAATTTATGCGTTGTCATTCGTGGTGTAAACTAGTGACCTACTGCTATGTTTTATATCCTAGTTAATAAAGCAGGCTATAATAAAAGTATAAGACATTTTACTGGCTCTAAGTTCAGCTAATTCACTATTTGGATTTGCATATCTCGCCATACACACAGTGTGACAGATAAGCGTGTTATTACCCAGCTGGCGGTAAACACTGTCTGATTCACTAAGGGACACGATGTTCACTCATCATCCTATGTGATATGATTTATTACCCTGCGGGCTCTTCGTGGCTCAGTATTGTTCTGTGTGACTACCAATAATAACAGATTTGTTCATCATGTCTCCAGAATATGATTATTTTATCCGTCAAGATAAAATAGTATCTGAAAACGAATCGGTTGTTAATTAACCCTTGGAACAACGGATCATCTAATTAAACTGTGAACTAGCTCAAGCACATTTATCTGAATCTATCTATCCATCTATCTATCTATCTATCTATCTATCCATCTATCATTCTATCTATCTATCTATCCATCTACCATTCTATCTATCTATCTATCTATCTATCTATCTATCCATCTACCATTCTATCTATCTATCCATCTACCATTCTATCTATCTATCTGTCAGTCTGTCTATCAATCAATCAATCAATCAATCTGTCAGTCTGTCTATCTATCTATCTATCTATCAATCAATCAATCAGTCAGTCTGTCTGTCTATCTATAAATATTTATTTCTATCTATCTATCTATCTATCTATCTATCTATTATCAGCCCTGCCTAGAATTATCTATCTATCTATCTATCTGGCAGTCTATATATCTATCTATCTGGCAGTCTATATATCTTTCTTTCTATCAGTCTGTGAGTCTGTCTGTCTATCTGGCTGTCTGTCTATCTATCCTTATCTGCATAGGAATATACATTTTACACATTATTTATAATTGTATGATATTTCCTTTACCAATCATCATTAAATAGTACACTGAATCCTGATAGTAATTTAATAAAACATGAATTAGTGTAGTTACTGGGAATGACCCATAGAATTTCGCAGTTTCAGAGATTGTTGTATGGTTTATTAGTACCAGCTGGGTTTCCGGTGTATAATATATAGAAGACTTGCTTTCTGTGATTTAGAAGACTTGCTTTCTGTGATTTAGAAGACATGCTTTCTGTGATTTAAAAGACATGCATTCTGTGATTTAGAAGACATGCTTTCTGTGATTGTCATGTCTGTTTGTTGTATGTACTGAGCTGTCAGACCCAATGTGTCAATGGATGGAATACCTTTTTTATTTCAATGTATCAATGTCACAGAGTCCAACACAGGAAACCATATCCTGCAGTCACTGCTCTAATTAAAGCTTTTTATGGAAGGATTTGTGAAATCATTTTATTCATTTTATATATTTTAAGAATACTTTTAAAATATAACTATAGACTATTTCTTTCTTGCTTCATATTATAAGTTATTATTTTTATTGCTAGGTATCAAATTACCCACATCTTTCTATAATAACAGGAAACCCCAACTCCTTACCAGAATCAACCACAACGAAGTAGCAAAATCTTCAATATCATAAGACACAGTCAGAATAAGACCGGGGACCACATCAAGACCCAATTAATACCGCACACAGGGACACTGAGTGCACTATACTGGGTGACTATACAGTGATCACACATATTAATATACAGGGAGCACGTATACTGGGTGACTATACAGTGATCACACATATTAATATACAGGGAGCACGTATACTGGGTGAATATACAGTGATCACACATAATATACAGGGAGCACGTATACTGGGTGAATATACAGTGATCACACATAATAATATACAGGGAGCACGTATACTGGGTGAATATACAGTGATCACACATAATAATATACAGGGAGCACGTATACTGGGTGAATATACAGTGATCACACATAATAATATACAGGGAGCACGTATACTGGGTGAATATACAGTGATCACACATAATAATATACAGGGAGCACGTATACTGGGTGAATATACAGTGATCACACATAATAATATACAGGGAGCACGTATACTGGGTGAATATACAGTGATCACACATAATAATATACAGGGAGCACGTATACTGGGTGAATATACAGTGATCACACAATAATATACAGGGACACCGAGTGCACTATACTGGGTGACTATACAGTGATCACACAATAATATACAGGGACACCGAGTGCACTATACTGGGTGACTATACAGTGATCACACATATTAATATACAGGGAGCACGTATACTGGGTGAATATACAGTGATCACACATAATAATATACAGGGACACTGAGTGCACTATACTGGGTGACTATACAGTGATCACATATATTAATATACAGGGAGGATGTATAATGGGTGAATATACAGTGATCACATATATTAATATACAGGGAGGATGTATAATGGGTGAATATACAGTGATCACATATATTAATATACAGGGAGGATGTATAATGGGTGAATATACAGTGATCACATATATTAATATACAGGGAGGATGTATAATGGGTGACTATACAGTGATCACACATATTAATATACAGGGAGCACGTATACTGGGTGAATATACAGTGATCACACATAATAATATACAGGGACACTGAGTGCACTATACTGGGTGACTATACAGTGATCACACATATTAATATACAGGGAGCACGTATACTGGGTGAATATACAGTGATCACATATAATAATATACAGGGACACTGAGTGCACTATACTGGGTGACTATACAGTGATCACACATATTAATATACAGGGAGCACGTATACTGGGTGACTATACAGTGATCACACATATTAATATACAGGGAGCACGTATACTGGGTGAATATACAGTGATCACACATAATAAACAGGGAGCACGTATACTGGGTGAATATACAGTGATCACACATAATAATATACAGGGACACTGAGTGCACTATACTGGGTGACTATACAGTGATCACACATATTAATATACAGGGAGCACGTATACTGGGTGAATATACAGTGATCACATATAATAATATACAGGGACACTGAGTGCACTATACTGGGTGACTATACAGTGATCACACATATTAATATACAGGGAGCACGTATACTGGGTGACTATACAGTGATCACACATAATAATATACAGGGAAACTGTGTGCACTATACTGGGTGACTATACAGTGATCACATATTAATATACAGGGAGCACGTATACTGGGTGAATAACTTATAACCTGTGATCACATATATTAATATACAGGAAGGATGTATAATGGGTGAATATACAGTGATCACATATATTAATATGCAGAGAGCACGTATAATGGTGATCACATATATTAATATACATGGAGCATTTATAATGGGTGTATAACTGATGATGTGCACTTATAACGTGTGATCACATATATTAATATATAAGGAGCACTTTGAAGTGTGAATAATTGAATATAAAGTAATCACAGATATTAATATACAGGGAGCACATATATTAATATACACGGAGCACGTATAATTGGGTGAATATACAGTGATCACATATATTAATATACAGGGAGCACGTATAATGGGTGAATATACAGTGATCACATATATTAATATACAGGGAGGATGTATAATGGGTGAATATACAGTGATCACATATATTAATGTACAGGGAGCACGTATAATGGGTGAATAACTGATGATGTGCACTTATAACCCGTGATCACATATATTAATATACAGGAAGGATGTATAATGAGTGAATATACAGTGA